CGGTATCGAGATGCATCGCCGGACGCTTTCTCTTGCCCATAATGCCGATTTCGAAGACATCGAGGACAAGGAAGTCAAGGCAGCGTTGGAAGCGCGCAATCTCCAGATGGGCGCGGACCTGATTCGGAATGCCGGTACCCTCGGGTCCGTGGAAGAATTGCTGAGGCTTGCACGCCAGGTCAACAAGAAGGACATCCTATGAAGGTCAACGGAACCCACTACCGCTCGCTTTGGTGGGATGAGGACAAGGACGCGCTGCAAATTATCGATCAGCGCTGGTTGCCGCACGAGTTTCGGGTGCAGCAGGTCAACACGCTTCAGGATTTTGCCGACGCGATCGTTGAAATGCGTGTGCGCGGTGCGCCGCTGATCGGCGCCACCGCTGCCTATGGCATGGCCCTGGCCGCCGGGTCGGATCCATCCGATGAAAATCTCGACAAGGCCTGGGAGTACCTGGACAAGACCCGTCCGACAGCCATCAATCTGCGCTGGGCGCTCAATCGCTGCCGCGCAAAACTGAAGGCGATTCCCGAAGGTGATCGTGCTGCAGCGGCATTGCAGCTCGCTCACGAGATTTCCGACGAAGACGTGGACATCAATTACCGCATTGGTCAGAACGGACTGGAAATCATCCGCAGGATCGCGGCCGGAAAACCCGATGGTGAACCTGTGCGTATTCTTACCCATTGCAACGCCGGTTGGATCGCGACAGTCGACTGGGGCACCGCAACGAGCCCGATGTATCAGGCGCATGATGAAAATATTGCGATCCATGTCTGGGTTGACGAAACACGTCCGCGGAACCAGGGCGCTCTGACGTCCTGGGAACTTGGCAGTCACGGGATTGCGCACACATACATAACTGACAACGCGGGCGGGCACCTGATGCAGCATGGCCAGGTCGACCTCGTCATTACCGGAACGGATCGTACCACCCGTCGTGGAGATGTCTGCAACAAGATCGGCACTTATCTGAAGGCGCTTGCGGCAAAGGCAAATGATGTTCCGTTTTACGTCGCACTGCCTTCGCCGACGATTGACTGGACCGTGGAGGACGGGGTTGCCGAAATTCCGATCGAGGAGAGGCTGGAACGTGAGGTAACTCACGTCCAGGGGCTGACCGAGGATGGGAGGATCGGGCAGGTGCAGGTCACTCCGCATGGTACGCCCGGTGGGAATCCGGCTTTCGACGTAACGCCGAACCATCTGGTGACAGGCCTTATCACCGAGCGCGGTGTGTGCGAGGCGAGTGCCGACGGGCTCGCCGGGCTTTTTCCCGACCTTGCGAAGGTTGCCAGGAGCGCATGAGCCCTGGCCCGTCCAAGTCGCGACTAACGGAATCCAGGGGCAATGCGCGTGGAGCGGCCGCGCGCGCCCGCACACAGGAGGACGCGATTGTCGAGGTCACCTGGTGTTACTATCAGGACGGAATGAACCAGAACGAGATTGCCGAACGTCTCGGAATTTCACGGGCCACGGTGGTCAATTATCTGGCGGAAGCCCGAAAACGGGATTATGTCCGCATCTCGCTCGACACCGATGTATTCCGAAACCAGGACTTGGCCCGTCGTCTTGTCGACCGGTTCGGGCTTGGGGATGCAGTGGTCATTCCATCTTCGCCTGATGGCGCGGAACAGTCCCTGGAGCGCGTGACCCGTGCGGTGGCCGACTGGTTGCCGAGCCTTCTGGAACCGGGCGACCGGCTTGGAGTTGCCTGGGGCGAAACCGTCTACAGGGTCGCCGAGGCTGCGCCGCGCATTACCCTGGAAGACCTGACCATCGTCCAGCTGGTCGGCTCGCGGCCGGCAGCGCTTGGCTTTGCCGCGGAAACCTGTTCGGCAACCCTTGCAAGGCGGTATGGCGCCCACTGCGTCAATCTGCATGTTCCGCTGATCCTGTCGGACAGGAAGCTTGTCGAGCAGCTTAAGCAGGAACCGGTCATTCAGGCACAGTTGGAGGCCGTGGCGAATTGTAACAAGACGATTTTCGCCTGCGGCACGTGTGGGGACGACAGCCACGTGGTTCACACGGGTCTTCTCGACAGGGCAGATATCGACGCCTGCGCCGCTGATGGTGCCATTGGGGTCATCTGTGGCCGGCTGATCGATCACAATGGCAATGGTCTTGATCGGGACATCGAGGACCGCATGATCGCGGTCACGCTCCAACAGATGCGCAACAAGGAGATCGGGCTCCTGGTCGGATCCGGCCCTGACCGGGCTGAGCCGATGCTGGCAGCCATTCGCGGAGGCTATGCCACGCACGTGGCCACCTGCTCCCAGACTGCGGCCGAATTACTGAAACTGGCGGACGACAATGCTTAGGGTACCCTACAAAGACACTCCGGAATTGCGTCAGGCGATCATCGATACCTGCAAGGAAATGAACACCAGAGGCATCAATCAGGGAACATCGGGAAACATCTCTGCCCGGGTCGGCAAAAGGATGATTATCACGCCCTCGGGTATCCCTTATGACAGCATGACACCTGACATGCTCGTTTCGATTTCCCTTAAGGGAAAAGGGAAGAACAAGGGTCCGTATCCGCCGTCCACCGAGTGGCAGTTTCATCAGGCCTTGCTGCGGAGCAAACCCGACATGCACGCTGTGGTACATGCGCATCCTGTGCACTGCACCGCGCTTTCGATCAACCGGTCGGAAATTCCCGCGTGCCACTACATGATTGCGATTTTCGGCGGCAACACCGTACCCCTGGCGGACTATGCGCTTTTTGGAAGCCAGGATCTGGCGGATCACGTAACCGGTGCGATGGCCTCACGCCACGGCTGCCTCATGGCCAATCATGGCGCGGTCGTCGTCGGCGAGACGCTTGAAAAGGCGCTCTGGCGGATGGAAGAACTTGAAGTCCTTGCGCGTGCCTTCATCGTCAGCCAATCGATCGGCACTCCCCACATCCTGTCAAGGGGCGAGATCGATGAGGTGCTGGGCGCCGTTGCCAATTATGGCCTCAAGTCTTCCTGACGCTCCACCTGGTCAGCTTTCCTGGCGGGAAAACAGCCTTTTACGGTTTCGGAAAGCGAAATAGAGCGCTCCGGTCAAAAGCAGAACGTTCACGCATACCAGGGTCGCCGACACCGGGCGATCGAGAAAAATCCAGTAGCCTTCTCTGGAAATGAGCAAGGCGCGCCGCAGGTTGTTTTCCAGGATCGGTCCCAGGATGATGCCGATGACGATTGGCGCCAAAGGATAGTTTGCAGCGCGAAACAGGATGCCGACCAGTCCAAATCCGAACATCACCATCAGGTCGAAAACGGACGCCTGCAGGGCAAACGAGCCAATCGAGCACAGGATAAGGATGATCGGTATCAGATAGAATTTCGGGATCCGCAACACATAGACGAAGAACGGTGTCGCAAGAATGCCCGCGATGAGCAAAAAGACGTTTGACGCCATGTAGACAAGGAAGATCCCGCCCACGAATTGAGGCTCCTGTTCGAACAGGATAGGACCCGGCACAAAGCCGAGTATCAGCAACGCCCCTAGCAACATTGCGGACGAGGCGTCGCCGGGAATGCCAAGTGCCAGCGTAGGTACCAGCGTTCCACCGACCGTTGCGTTGTTGGCGCTTTCGGTGGCGACAACGCCGCCCTCGGCACCTTCTCCGTATCTCTCGTCCGGTTTCGCCGCAGCTTTCGCAATTGCATACGCGCTGAACGAGCTGATGACACCGCCAGCGCCAGGTAACGCACCGAAAAAGACGCCGATGCCGGAAGATCTGAGCAGATTGACCCAGTGCCGCATTGTTGTCAGCAGCGATCCGAAACCGGGGCGCTCCACCTTGATGTCCGGCTTCTTCAGAAGGTCGTCGCCGACGATCTGGTGGACCATTTCGGAAATTGCAAACAAACCCACAACGACCGCAACGATGTGAAAGCCATTGAGCATGTGGTGCGAGCCGAATGTGAAACGGTAACCTGTTGAGAATTCATCGGTGCCAATGGTTGCCAGCAACAACCCGAAACAACCCGAGACCAATCCCTTGATGAGTGACCCGCCGGAAATGATCGCGATGGCAAACAGGCCGGTTACCGCAAGCATGGCGTATTCGGGAGGGGCAAAGCCGCTGGCAAACCTTGCCAAAAGCGGCGAGGCCACGATCAGCACGGCCCCGCCGATAAGGCCGCCGATTGCCGAAGCGGAGATGGCAATGCCGATCGCATCGGCCGCCCGTCCTTTCTGCGCCATCGGATAGCCGTCGAAAAGCGTTGCGGCCGCCAGTGGCGTTCCCGGAATACGCAGAAGAATTGCGGAGATCGACCCGCCGCAGGAACCGCCGACGAAGATCGCAATGAGGAAGCCCATTGCCGCGACTGGAGGCAGTCCGATCGCCACCGGCAGTAGCAGGATAATGCCCATGAGCGGGCCCAGCCCGGGCATTGCGCCAACAAGCAGTCCGATCAGGATGCCGATGAAGGTCAGGCCGATTGCCAGAGGGGTCAGAAAGAGCTGGAAACCAGCAAGCAGGGATTCAAAGAGCATCGGCCTACCAGGGTATGTTCAGGCTGAGAACGCCACCCGGCAGCACGACATTGAGAAATTTCTCGAAAATGAAGGCGAAGCCGAAAGACATGATAAGCGCGGCAAGCAGCATCTTTCCGAACTGACGCGCGCCGCAGATGATCATTATTGCAAAAACCATTGGAGTGGTCGTCAGGTGATAGCCGAGCCAGCCAAGGCAACCCAGATAAATTGCGAAAACGGCCAGCAGGCCGACTGCCCTCTTGAAGCCATGCGGATCGACAACGATCCTCTCGCGCTGGCCGGTCCCGAATTCAATCAGGATCTGAACGATGACCAGCACAGCGATGGCCAGGGCAACGGCGCGCGGATAGGCGGCCGCGTTGTCATAGGGACCGCCGCTGGCGATCCCCTGTTCTTGCATGGATGTATGAATTTGCTGAAAGACGATCGCGACGATGATCGCGAAGAAAACTGTAACCATCAGGGTAAGGGTTCTCGAAGTCATCGTCGCTGTCACCTTATCGCAGTTTCTTCAGCTCATCTTCTTCCCATTTCAGGGCATTGCCCATTGCGGAAAGCTGGTCGGACACCGGTCCGACGACCTCGTCATACTGGGTGTGATCCCAGTCCAGGGGAACGAACCCGACCTTTTCGATTGCCTCGCGAACGTCCGGCCTCTGCATGGCGGCATCCATTGCAGCGCGCAGTTTGCCGGTGACTTCGTCCGGTGTGTCCTTGTGAACGATCCACCAGGTCCATCCCATCGGTGCCAGACCGGACAGCCCGAGATCGATGTCGAGATCCGCAATGCTGGGCGCGCCGTCATACGAGGCCTTGGCGCCGGGAAGCTCGGACAGTACCAGCATGATGTTGAAAGCCGGCTTGTCCTGAATGTAGTTGCCGACATTGATGAAGGAGAAATCGAGGACGCCGGACTTCAGGTCCTTGACCGCATTTCCGTCCTGCGTGTAGGGGATGTTCTGGGCGACCACACCATAGGACTGCAGCACTTTCGCAATCACCATGTGAGGCAGGTTGTTTCGCGAGCCCGAAGAATAGCGAAGTTCGCCCGGATGTTCCCGGCCGTATTCCATCATCTCCTCGAAATTGGACCAGCGTGTTTCGTCGGTACGCCCGCCAATCGCAAACGCGTTCGAAACCGCCGAATGGAGTGGCTTGAAGTCGCTATACGTCCAGTCGGCATTCCCGAGTACGGGCTGCAAAACGAGGGGCGCAACATAGCCGTCAAACACCGTATAGCCGTCGGCAGGCCGCGACATCGCTGTTTTTTGCCCCTTCGTGCCCGCGGCACCCGGTGTTGAAATCACGGGCATGTCGACACCGAGTTCTTCACCCATGGCCTTGGCGATCAACTGGCTCACCGACATGGCATTTCCCGGTCCCCAGGGATGGATCAATTCGACCGTCCGCTCGGGAAACTCGGCGATGGATGCGCTGGTGGATGCGGCGATGAGCATCGTCGCGGCCGCAAGGGTCTTCAATGGCCTTGAAAGTTTCACGTTGTCCTCCTCCTAGTTTGCTCTTTCGATGCCCGGTCCCGCGGTGCCCTGGTGGGCCTCCCGGTCTGTTTCCAGACCGAAATGTGCGTAGAGTTCCTTCGGAGCATCATGTTGAATGAAGTGGTAGGTAATCCGGTCCGTCAGGCGTCCGATGACGGCTTCATCCGGCACAGGGGTTGTCTGACCGGGATCGCGTTCCAGGTCGTAAAGGGCTGAAACACAATCTTCGAGCGTCTGCCCGTCATTGCCGACCTGGGTGTTCTTCGGGTCGAGCTTGATTTTCAGGAGCGGTGCACCCTTGGTGAAATCAAACGGCCCGGCCAGTACGCTCGTCTTCAGTTCGCTTATTTCGAAATGCGACGACAGATGTGTCGGCATCAGCGTGTAGAGATTGAGATTTTCGCCAGACAGGTCGTCCGGATAGCGGAAGTAGCTGTATTTCCCGTCGGTCACGCAAACCGGGCCGGCGAACATGCCAAGGGCAAGACTTTCGTGAACCGGTGCATCATCGCCCAGCAGGGGCTTCAAGGACGCACCGGTCACGCTGGGAGGAACCTGACAATTGTGGATCTCCAGGATGGTCGGCATGAGATCCGGTGTTTGCGTCAAGCTCTTGCGCCGCGAACCGGATTGGTCCGCGTGCCCGGGGTGCCAGATCATGAGTGGAATGTGAGAGATTTCCTCATAGTAGGGCATCCTGTTCTTGCCCCACCACTCATGCTCCGACAAAAGAAAACCGTGATCGGTGGTCAGGATCAGGCAGGTGTCGTCCCACAGGCCATGCGCATCGAAATGATCCAGAAGTTTTCCGAAATATTCGTCGCACATGGCAACCAGCGCGGCGTAATTGCCGCGAATTTCTGCAATTTCCTGGCTGGAATTGCTGACCTTTTCGTAATGCGGCCAATCCAGGATCTTGCCATTGTAGCCGCTTTTGTAAGCCTCCTTGAAACGCTCCGGCGCGACGAAGGGTTCGTGTGGATCAAAGCATTCAAGTTGCAGGAACCAGTCGTCCGCATCTGCATTCAAGTCGAGAAACTCGAATGCTGCGGCAAAGCATTTGGCGGTCGGAAAATCGGCTTCTTCCGTTAGAAAATCATGAGTTATTGCGGCCCGGGACCTTTTCCAAGAGGTCTTGTCCGTATTGCCTCTGGTCATGCTGCCGTTTGAAGGGGGCGACATCGGATAGTGACGCGGATCGAATTTTTGACGGTACCTTTCGACCGGTGGTGCCGCCAGGGCTTTCAGCGCGTCATATTCCTGACCCCGAATGAAATCCCAGCTGTCGAAGGCATTGGCATACCCCCAACCGCCGTCCTCGAAATAGTGGAGATGATCGGAGATCAGGTGGGAATAGACACCGCCGCCACTCAGGATTTTCGCAAAAGATTCGTCAAATGGTTCAAGCGGACCCCAATGCCTGTGCATGAAATTGAGCCGGCCCGTATGCATGTCCCGGCGCGCCGGCATGCAAGGAAGACTTCCGACATAATGCTTGTCGAACGTGACGGCCCGTTGGGCGAACCGGTCGAAATTGGGTGTTTCAACGGCGGTACCGCCGTAGGCGCCGAGCGCAAGGCGGTTGAGTGAATCGAACAGGACAAAAACGGTCCGCATTGCTCCTCCCAAAGCTGGTTGTTGAGCGAACTTCGTAGACCTTGATCGAAAAGAGATATTCTGTAAAATCGATTTATTGATACTTATCATTCAAAAAAAGAATGTTAGATGGACAAGAACCTGACAGCGTTTTTGGCGGTTGCCCGTCATCACTCCCTGACCGCTGCCTGCGACGAACTGGCCCTGACGCAGCCTTCGGCGACCAAACGCATTGCCAATCTTGAGCACGAGGTCGGTGCGACGTTGTTCGAGCGGGACAGGCGAGGCATGAGACTGACGGCGGCGGGCAGGGTATTCCTGAAGCGGGCGGAGCGCATTCAGCATGAATATCGGCAGTGTCTGGAGGAGGTTTCAACCATTACCACTGCGGGACTTCCGGTTCTCAGGGTTGGCGCGGGGCCGGTGTTCCACCTGAACAGTGTCGCGCGACTGTTCGCGGCCTTGATAAAGCAGTTTCCTGCCTTGAAGCTGGAGGTCAAAACGGACACGGGGCACGACATCGCACAGCCGTTGAGTGCGGGAGAAATCGACATCTATCTGGGCATCATTCCGAAAGAACAGTTAGATGATGCGATACTTGTCAGATACATAACCAGTGTTGAACACGGTATTGTCGTGCGGGCCGATGACCCGAACGCGCAGGGCACGCATATTGATCCATCCAATCTGCGCGGCTATCGGTGGGTCAGTTTCGTGGTTGATCCTGAAACGGAAAGCCGTATTCAGGAACACTGCGCGCCCGAAGACGCTGTGGAATCCATAATCGACATTCGAACAACGTCGTTTGCGACCGGATTGCAACTGGTCAAGGAAGGCGGGTTTGTCATGTCGGCACCGCTTCAACTTGCGCATCGCATTGAAAGCGAAGGACTTATGATCCGTCCGAGCCTTCATGGCATGCCGCGAAGGGAAGCCGGTATCTATGTGCGCAAGAGTTCTCTGGGCTACAACGCAATCCAGGCCGTCCTGAATTATTTCGAAACCGAAGATCTGCCCTTCTGACATCGGTCAGGGGTCGCCGACGAGGTGGATTTCGGCAGAGCATGTCGTTCCTGCACTTGATTGCAGACCTAACCTGGCACTGTCTTGCCGGGCAGGCGTCTCCTTGCGGCGAGGGATCCAAGGCCCGACAGGATGATCAGCGTCAGACCGATGAATGCAACCGTGTCCGGCCAGTCGCCGAAGACCAGAATACCGAGCAGGGTCGCGGAGATGAGTTTGCTGTAGACGAGTGGCGCGACAAGGCTGGCATCGGCCATCTTGTTCGCCACGACCAGGGCGTAGTTGCCGGCGGCTGACCCCAATGCGCTCAAAATGATCAGGACCCAGAAATTGAAGCTTTGTTCCGGCAGGCCCGAACTCAGACCGAACGGTATCAACAGGACAGAGCCGATCAGCAACTGCGACATGAGAAGAAGACTTGGCCGCATCGCGCCGGCCAGCAATTTGGTCATGAAGAGATAACAGCCATAGCAGATGCCGGCCAGGACAGCGAAAAGAATGCCGGCGGAAGCACCGAAACCGGGCTTGACCACCAGCAGGACCCCGCAAAAACCCAGGACGAGCAGAATGGTGTGTGTCGGCGACGGTTTTTCGGCGAGAAAAATGACTGCCAGAACGTAGGAGATTACCGGCCCGACGAAGAAGGCGCCGAAAACATTCGCGATGGGTTCGGTCTTGAGTGCCGTCAAAATCGAGCAGATGGCACAGGTGATGAAGACAGCCCGCAGAACAACCCGCCAGTCCTTGTAGGCACTCAGCTCATGCAGCCGGATACGCGCAATCGGCCATAGCGCCAGGGCGCCGATGGCAAAGCGGGAAAAGGCGACGAAAAACGGATCGACGCCACCGGCGGTCAGCAGCTTGCCGCACGTGTCACCGGCGACGATCAGGGTAACAGCGAAAAAGACGGTGCCAGCTATCCGGCACAGGTCGAGGAGGTGCATGAAAGAGACCGCTTGGAGAGAGTTTGAGCGTCACACCGATACAATTGAAAAACGATCGGAGCGCAAGCCCTCTTCAACAGAAATCGGACCTCCTGCCCGCTGCATTGAAAACCATTGATCGGCATGTCGGCGCGCGTTCCGACAGAGGCCTATCTGCCGATAATGAACTCGACCGGTGCCCCGTTTTTCTCGCCGTCGAACAGCACTAGTACGCGATAAGTCGTGTCGGTTTCTTCAAGCACGAGCAGTGTCTCTGCACTCGCATTTACATCGACGCCCGGAAGCGCGCCCAGAGGCTGTGCCTCATCGCCTGATTTTCCGCTCCAGAACCAGAGAGACGGCGACGGTGAAGGTGGGGCGCGTTCTTCGCCGCAAGTGAAATCTTCAGATCCGCGGCGGTCGTCACTTCTTCCTGCCAGAATGAGAAGGCCGTCTTTTACACGGGTCAGGTCTCTCACGCCGACATTGTCGCCCAGCTTGACCCTGGCAGTTGTTGATGTGGGCGGTGTCTCCATGAACAGCTCTTCGGAGGGCACCCGCAGGAACAGGGCGTGATTGGCAAGACAGGGACTTCTGAGACCGAACAGCATGTCGCCGTCCAGCTCCGAAATCCCCTCGATGGTCACACCATTTCTGTCCAGCCTCTGGTCTGCATAAGGCGCAAGATCGGGATTGGACCTGATCGTTTCGGCCAGGAGCATGGTTCGCTCGACTTCCGGTGCCACCTTCTTGTCGTTGTACTTGAAAGTCGGCTTGCCGGACCTGGTCTTGACCGGAAACCGGAACAGTGTGAAGCGAGACTGCTGGAACTCACCGCCTCGGGAAAGCCCGTGCGAACCGGTAACATAGAAATAGGACGGTGCTTTGCCGTCACTGGAAGGCACAAAGACCACACCTTCCGCATCGATCTCGCCCATTTTCTTGCCGTCGACCTTTTTCGGCAGCAGCCGGATAACGCCTTTCTTGTCCGGGTCGAGCCTGTTTTTCTTCAGCTTGAAAAACTGCGCATAATTCCTTTCGTCATTGGCTGCCAGACACAAACCTCCGTCTGGAACGCAGTCAGCCCCGCTGATCGACTCACGCGCATTGCTGCTTTTTTCAAAGTCGGGTTTGACCTGCCACTTTTCGGTTGAGCGAATGATCTCCGCCGATGCCGAGGACAAGGAGAGTGACGTCAGAATTAGGAAAGGAAACAGGCGCATGATTGCTCCGCACCATGATGGTCAATGTCGACTGCCCATACCTTCACATTCTTCAAGTGCTGTCCAGCCGGATCTGTGCCCGTCGTGGGCTAATGCGCTGGAAGGTTCTCGTGAAGACCGGAGACCAGGTTCAGTGTCTTGTCAGCGATCGAAATGGTCACCCGGCGGCCCCAGTCGAAACGCATGAAATCCTGTTCGATACCGTCGGCAAAGATGACACCGCCATCGTTGATACGTGAGGTCATTTGCAAAACGGAACCTTCGCGAATGGCTCCGGCCCGCATTTCACAGCCGCTGAGATGGCTCGGCCACGGCTCGCGGGCAAAATAGAGCGCTGTTGGATCTGTTGGCAGTATCTCAAACATCTGGTGCGTCGATGTCATGATGGATTTCGCCCATCCTGTTGCACCTGTCCCGGTGGAAACGATTACGCCGGAAGACGACTGGTATTCTTCCTGCCCAGCCGTGCGAATGAAATAGCGGGCTGACTGATGGCTGCAGTGGCCGATAAAGAGCTCGTTGAGCGCACACAGTGTTTCACCCCCGCCGGCTCTGGCGGACACCATCGTTCTGCGCTCGATTGGAGCGTCATTGTTTTCTATCAACCTGAGCAGTGGGGCAACCTCGCCCGGGAGAACTCTTGTCAGAATTCCCTCCGAACCGGACTGCCCCGGCATGACGCCTATCACAGGTTGGCCGGAACAGTATTTTGCCAGATTGGCAACCAGCCCATCCTGTCCGATGGCCATGACGATGTCATTTTCCGTGAACAGGAACCGATCCAGATCGTCACGCTCGACACTGGCAACCGACCAGTCATTCGGCACGGCTGCCTTTGTCTGCTGAATCGCCGACTGCAGCGCAGTATGTACCGCTTCCACCTCATCGATGTCCTGATCCCGGCTCCGCAGAAAAAAGGCGGCCTGTCCCCGCGTTCCATGAGCAGCCAGCAGCGCCTGATACTCCGATTGCCGGGTCACGAGGACAACGCGGGGTGCCAGACTGCTCATGACCTTGCCTCATCACGCACCGGGTTCGCTTTCATGGCGCCCTGAACCTGGCCGATCACATTCGACAGCATGTCGGGGGTCACCGTCAGATTGTCGATGTTCTGCAGTTTGCCGGCAAACTCTTGAGCTGCCATTGCAAACATCACCATGGGAGGAAGATCGGCATAGACCGCCATCCGTTCCTTTTCCATGTCGGTGCGCGCCTGATCGATGGTCCGGATCCGGCCGGCTTCGGCATTTGCATCGATTTTCAATGCAGCGGCCTGGGCTTCGGCCTGGAACCTGGCATTTTCATCTTCACGCGCGATCAACTGCTTGCGCTGGGTCTCCAGTTCAATTTTTGTGCTCAGCTCGTTTTCTGCAATCGCCCGTTCTTTCTCCACGGCAAGTGCACGTCTGGCAAAAGTCGCCTCATCCGCTCTTTGCTGGAGGTCTTCGAATGTGGGCGTCTGCAGGGCGCGGGCAAGGGCGGAGCTGGGAGACACGTCATCCACTCCGACGCCGACGATCTCGACGCCCATTGCCGCCATGGTGCCGTCTTCTGCAAACCCGTTTCTCAAGGCAAGTTGCAATGGTTCCACACCTGCCTCCAGAAGGTCCCGCACCGTGTTGGATTTGACGTAGGCGGAAATGTAGCGTCTGCCAAGCGAGCCGATCTGGTCATTGATCTGATCGATGGGTTGCCCCATCAGCAGGCCCTTCTTCAGGTCTATGGTGAAATCGATGCGGTCTCCGAGAACTTCCGCGTTCGCGACACGCCAGATGATGCTGCCTTGTACAGTCAGGTCCTGATAATCCCTGGATTGCCCTTTCAGCAGGAAGGGCAGAGTGCGGTCATCCATCGGTATTTCACTGAGTGAGGTTCTCGCCGGCAGGAACCAGAAGGACAGTCCCTTGCCTGAGCGCACACGCCTGCCCCTGTGGAATTGTTGGACATGGCAGGAGGCGTCGGCACGAATGTGACGCAGGAACGGGTATCTTTGTATCTGTGCCATTTCCAGATCCTTCCTAGATCCGTGTGTAGAGTTCTGCCGGTCTGAATGCAGACCCTGTTTCACGTTTGCCAGTTGGTTTTATGATCTTTCGGTCGAGCAGTTTTCGTCTGAATGCCGGCTTGGTAAGCGGCCGGTCGAGGATGGCTTCGTAGATCTCCTGCGCCTGCCGCAAGGTGAAAACCGGGGGAAGCAGTTCAAGAGCCACGCTCGTGTAGTCCAGTTTGCCTCGCAGCCGTTTGACCACGTCACCGAGAATGTATGCGTGGTCAAATGCGAGGGACAGTTCGCCAAGCGTTCCGGTCAAGGCACGGGCACTGGCCCCCGTGTCGTCCTTCCAGTCGGTGTGTACTTGCGCAAGGGTCAGTTCCTTGTTGGCCTTGACCAGCCGGCTCAGGTTTTCAAATGGAACAAGGGCAAAATGCGTGACACTTATGACGCGTTCGCGCGGGTCCCTGTCCGGAGCTCCATAGGTGAATAGCTGCTCGAGATAGACCTCAATCACGCCGACCTTTTCGCGAAGAACACGCTTGGCGGTGTCCTCGATTGCCTCTTCCATGTGAACGAAGCCACCCGGGATCGCCCAGTCACCTCCGACCGTGTTCGCGTCCTTTCGCACCATCAGCATGCAGTGCAATTTGCGTTCTGCGACCGTGATCAACGCAAGGTCTACCGCGACAGACGGTTTGGGATAGGACATGATATACTCCTTATAATCAATGTAGATATAACTAAATAAGATATAAGTCAATAAACAAAGACAAGATATGAAATCTTCTGAAAAATCAGAGTGATGGGAAAGAGAAGAGCGGATAGATTACAGGAAGGAATGCCGTTTAGCCGACATTGGCCAACTTTTTTGCGTCAGGGAAACAGGAGAAGTTTCCTGCACGGCTGAACAATTGGCTGCTGCTTGAAACAAAAAAAGCCCGGCATTTCTGCCGGGCTTTTCTGTTCCATTCTCGATTGGAGAAGTGGAGTTTCTAGTCGTCGGACTGCTGCTTCAGGGCAGCACCCAGAATGTCGCCGAGGGACGCGCCGGAGTCGGAAGAACCGTACTGTGCGACAGCTTCCTTCTCTTCTGCGATTTCGAGCGCCTTGATCGACACGGTGACCCGGCGGGTCTTCTTGTCGAACTGGGTGATACGGGCGTCGAACTTGTCGCCGACGGAGTATCTCTCGGGACGCTGTTCTTCACGGTCGCGGGACAGGTCGGCGCGGCGGATGAAGGCCGTCAGGTCGCTGTCTGCGATCTTGACGTCCAGGCCGCCATCCTTGATCTCGGTGACTTCACAGGTAACCACAGAGTTCTTGCGGAGTTCGCCACCTGCACCGGTTTCCATCGGGTCGCCGGTGAGCTGCTTGATGCCCAGGGAGATACGCTCCTTGTCGACATCGACATCCAGAACGACGGCCTTGACCATGTCGCCCTTCTTGTACTCTTCGATGACCTGCTCGCCCGGACGGTTCCAGTCGAGATCGGAAAGGTGAACCATGCCGTCCACGTCGCCGTCGAGGCCGATGAACAATCCGAATTCGGTCTTGTTCTTGACTTCGCCTTCGACATTGGTGCCGACCGGGAACTGCTCTGCGAACGCATCCCACGGATTCTGCAGGGTCTGCTTGAGACCGAGCGAGATGCGGCGCTTGACCGGATCGACTTCCAGGATCATCACTTCGACTTCCTGGGAAGTGGAAACGATCTTGCCCGGATGGACGTTCTTCTTGGTCCAGGACATTTCCGAAACGTGGATCAGGCCTTCGATGCCAGGCTCCAGTTCGACGAATGCGCCGTAGTCGGTGATGTTGGTCACGCGGCCGGTGAACTTGGCTTCGATCGGGTACTTGGCTTCAATGCCATCCCACGGATCGGTTTCAAGCTGCTTCATGCCGAGGCTGATGCGGTGCGTTTCCTGGTTGACGCGGATGATCTGCACCTTGACGGTCTGGCCGATGGTGAGAACTTCCGACGGATGGTTGATGCGGCGCCACGCGATGTCGGTGACGTGCAACAGTCCATCGATACCGCCGAGGTCGACGAACGCACCGTAGTCGGTGATGTTCTTGACCACACCTTCCACGGTATGTCCTTCTTCCAGGCTCTGGACCAGTTCCGAACGCTGTTCGGCGCGGGTCTCTTCCAGAACGACACGGCGTGACACGACGATGTTGCCGCGACGCTTGTCCATTTTCAGGATCTGGAACGGCTGCGGCGTATGCATCAGCGGGGTCACGTCGCGCACCGGACGGATGTCCACCTGGGAACGCGGCAGGAATGCAACTGCGCCATCCAGATCGACGGTGAAACCGCCCTTGACCTGGTTGAAGATCTGGCCGTTGACTTTTTCGTTGGCTTCGAACGCGACTTCCAGGCGAACCCAGCTTTCTTCGCGGCGGGCTTTTTCGCGCGACAGAACGGCTTCGCCGAGAGCGTTCTCGACACGCTCCAGGTAAACTTCAACTTCCGTGCCAACGCCCATTTCGCCGTCACGGCCCTTGGCGCCGAATTCCTTCAGCGGCACGCGGCCTTCAACCTTGAGGCCGACGTCGATGACGGCAAGGTCCTTTTCGATGGCGACAACGGTGCCCTTGACGACGGCACCTTCATAAAGGTCGTTCTGGACGAAAGACTCTTCGAGTAGAGCTGCAAAATCCTCGGTAGAGGGATTGAAATCGGTCATTTATTCTCCTGAGCGCCTGTGGGCGCACCGCCGGCGGGTTGGTGTTGCACTCCGGATTGTCCGTCTCCCGGGATCGCGGTTTCCGCTGATCCTGCCGCTCGAAAGCGGGCCGGCGGAGGCGGAAGACAAAAAATCCAGTCTCGTCACAGGACGCAGATATGCAGCGTCCTGCCGAAATTACTGTCGTTCTTAACAAGAACAGCTGGCCCTCAGGGCCGTTTGCTCCGGATGCACGAAAAGGGGCACACCTGCCGGCGGACCCCACGTTCGTCTAAGCACCCTTGGCGCGGGACACGATATCCACAGCCGCCTGGAACGCGGTCTCTATATCCATTTCTGTCGTATCTAGCAAGACCGCATCGTCAGCTTGTTTCATCGGCGCAACGGTTCTCTGGCTGTCGCGCTCGTCCCGGCGCTTCAGGTCGTCCAGCACGGATGTGTAGCCGGCGTCCTTGCCGTTGGAGATCATTTCGTCTGTTCGACGGCGCGCTCGGGCCTCCGGTGCAGCGGTAACGAACAGTTTGACGGTTGCGTCCGGGCAGACAACGGTGCCGATGTCACGTCCGTCCAGAACGGCCCCGGGAGGCGTTTGGGCAAATCGGCGCTGCAGGTTCACCAGCTCTTCGCGCAAACCGCCGAGAACCGCAATACGCGAAGCGGCCTCACCGATTTCATGAGCGGCGAGAATACTCTTGTCCATCTGTGCAAGGTCGAGATTCTGGGCGATCTCGATGGCGACACTCTCGTCGCCGAGCGGGAGGCCATTTGCCAGCAGCGCTGCAGCGACGGCGCGGTAGGTCAATCCCGTATCCAGATGGCGCAGGCCGAAATGATCGGCCAGCCGCCGGGCCAGGGTGCCCTTTCCGGAGGCCGCGGGCCCGTCAATCGCGATGATCATGCGGCCTCGCTGGCATTTGCCGAAATAACGGCCCCCAGTTCCTCAAAGAGTGAGGTGAAGGTGGGGAAACTCGTTGCAATCACGGCGCCGTCGTCAACGGTAACCGGTCGATGAGATGCCATGCCCAGAACCAGAAACGCCATCGCGATCCTGTGGTCAAGATGGGTTGTGACGGTGCCGCCGCCGATATTGTCGGCACCACCCTTCACGGTCAGCGTATCCTCGGTCTCTATGCACGGAACCCCGTTGGCTTCCAGGCCACGGGCAACCGCGGCAAGACGATCGGATTCCTTGACGCGCAATTCGTCGAGGCCCGGCATGAATGTGTCGCCTTCGGCAAATGCGGCGGCAACCGCGAGCACGGGGTATTCGTCAATCATCGATGGAGCACGATCCGCCGGCACCGTAATGCCTTTCAACCTGCTTGCCTTCACCCGGAGGTCACCGACCTCTTCACCGCCGGTTTCCCGGCGGTTGATGATCTCGATGTCTCCGCCCATCTCGACCAGGGTGGTGATCAGGCCGGTTCGGTGCTCGTTCAGGAGGACATTTTCGATCATGACGTCAGAACCCGGTACGATCAAAGCGGCAACCAGGGGAAAGCCCGCAGAAGACGGATCGCCGGGCACGTCGATATCCTGGGGCCTCAACTCGGGTTGTCCCTTCAACTTGATGACCCTCTCACCGTTTTCGTTGTGGGAAACGGTGATGTCCGCACCAAAGCCCTTCAGCATTTTTTCCGTATGATCACGCGTGGGGATCGGTTCTATCACCGTGGTTTCGCCCGGCGCGTTGAGGCCGGCAAGCAGGACCGCGGATTTGACCTGCGCGGACGGCATCGGAACCCGGTATGTGATCGGCAGAGCGGTTTCGGCACCACGAATGGACGCCGGCAGGCGGTCGCCATCGCGTGCGATCACGTTGGTACCCATCTCGCGCAGCGGATTGAGAACGCGTCCCATCGGGCGTTTGGAAAGCGACGCATCACCGACAAAGGTTGCGGCGATGTTGTGACTGCCGAAGATACCCATCGTCAGGCGCACGCCGGTACCGGCATTGCCGAAATCGATCACTTGTTCGGGCTCCAGCAGGCTGCCGAGACCGATGCCGTCGACGGAATAGGACCCGTCATCGAGCTGTTCGATAATGGCACCCACGGCGCGCATGGCATCTGCGGTGGCCAGAACGTCTTCCGATTCCAGCAGGCCCTTGACGGTGGTGCGGCCGACGGCAAGCGCCCCGAACATCAAGGATCTGTGGGAAATGGATTTGTCGCCCGGCACGCGGATTGTACCGGTCAGGGAGCTGCCCGTGCTCGACGAAAGGGGAGTGGGCGCAGAATCATGTGACATTTTCAATGTCCGCAACTTGGATGTTTTCAAAAAGGTGACACGTCCTATCATGTGGATGCTGCCTCGTCATCTTTCGAGTTTTTCAAGACGCGTGCCGTCACAAAACACTGTGCCGCTTCAGCCTTGAGCTGAAGCAATTTCTGCTCGTGAGCCGCGGCAGGTTGCCGGTTAGGCCGATTGCGACGCGTTTCGGGTTGTGTCGGTCTTTTCATCAACCCGGCTTTTTGCCGTGCTTGTCATCCGCCGGACAAAGTTGAGATTTGTTGGCGAGAACTTTTTTCAGGTGCTTGATATTTGGGCCGCAACGTGCAGAAGAATGGGGCGAACGGCATTTTTCGTCCGTTTTGCCTTTGACACCGGTTGAGCTTGACGCTATGGGGCGGCCCACTTATCAAGTCAGCCATTTAACAATTGAAGGGTGAGCACAGTGGCAAAACCTGAACTTGGCACCAAGCGGCTGTGCCCGAGCTGCGGCGCCAAATACTACGATCTTCTTCGGGATCCGATTACCTGTCCGAAATGCGGCACAATCTTTGAAATCGTTACGGCGACGCGTGCGGTCAAGGCGGCCAAGGCGGAAGAGAAGCCGGTAGAAGAAGAAGAAGATGAAGACGACGCGGCGGCTCCAGAGGTCGTGAGCCTTGAAGAGGCAGATGCGGAAGCGGAAGGCTCCGAAGACGTGCCGGATATTGAAGGCGATGACGTCGAAATCGAGAGCGATGAAAGCGATGACGACGTTTTCCTCGAAGATGAAGACGAAGACGAGGATTCCGTTCCTCCTATTCTCGTCGAAATTGAAGACGACACCGATCAGTAACGTGCTGATTTGAAAGCGTTTTTATTCCGCCCGGACTTTTATGTTCCGGGCGGATATTTTCATACAAAATTGTGCTTGATCTTGGAAGGCGGTGTGACTATGTTCCGCCTCCATCAGCGCCGGAGACCCAAACCGGCCAACACATGGAACATGGGGCCATAGCTCAGCTGGGAGAGCGCTTCGCTGGCAGCGAAGAGGTCAGGGGTTCGATTCCCCTTGGCTCCACCATTCCTTTCTTTCCGGTTTCTGGTTGACTGCAAATCACGGGGCAAAGTGCGGCGCGCAGCTTGTGCCTGCACGGCATGTCACGATCCGGTGTATTTCGACAGTCCTTGCCTTGCCGAAGTTTTGCAATGATGACGTCACAAGGTCTTCGTGTTCTGTGTCATAGGGCGGTCAGACCGGTTGAAAAAACACGTCTCCCGAAAGATTTGCACAACGGTCACTTGAAGGTCTGCTGAGGAGCAGTCACCGCGAACCCAGAATGGCGACCAGATCGTCCTCGTTGGGCTGCTGGTGCTGAAGATTGAGGCCGGCCTGAATGTGTTCAAGGTGATGGCAAACGAGTTCGGCAGCACGCTCGGTGTCTCCCGCCGCAATGGCGTCGAGGATCTGGGCGTGTTCGTTTTCCGGGCACGTGGCGCTTCGATTTGTGCCGAACAAGCCGACAATCAGCGACGTTCTGGTAATCAATTCCCGAATGGTCTTGTTCAGGACGCTGTTGCCATATGCATTTGCAAGTTCGACATGAAACTCGCCAGACAGACGGATGATCTCGCGTCGTTCACCGACCTCACGCGCACGGTCTTCCTTCTCGATATGGTGCCGAAGCCCCGCGATCGCGGTTTCGTCTGACGATTTCGCGAGATTTCGCACGATCCCGGCTTCGATGAGTTTTCGAGCGGAAAAGACTTCGTCGGCCTCCCCAGGTGTCGGGCACGCCACATACGCTCCCTTGTTGGACTGAAGGTCCACGATCCCCTGGCTCGCCAGGAGCAGCAGGGCGCGTCGAACCCGCATCCGCCCGACGCCAAAAGTCTCGCACAGTTTCGGTTCGCTCAGTTTTGTGTTCGGTGCAAGCCGCTGTTCCATGACCGCGGCGTAAATTCGATTCACAATCAGATGCTCGTCTGGTTCTGTCGAATTATTTTCCATTTTGTTCAATGAGTTAGATGGCATGCCGATGGACTGCTCAATGTGAATTACCGTCCTATAGATAGGATTTCTCGCATGTCAAAGTCAACGCTTTCCATTCTCTTTGTTAACGAAGTGAATTAAAAACGTTGATAATAATCGTTAACGATTTATAACGGTGGAAGTCGAACTACGAGAAGCACTCAATTTCGGCAAAGTTCGGCAGGAGGAGTCGAGCATCTGGTTTTTTGTTGGGAGGAACAAATGAAGAGAAGACACTTTTTAGGCGCATCGCTTTTGACCGCCGTCCTTGCGACGACAACATCGATTGCGCTCGCGGAAAATCCGGTCCTGAAAATCGGTTTCGTGGGAGTGACCAGCGGTCCGGCGGCCGCATGGGGAATTTCAAATCAGCGTTCGATGGAAACCCGCGCTGAGTGGATCAACGAAACGGGTGGCTACACGATCGGTGACACCACTTACGACATCGAGATCGTTTCCTTTGATGATCAGAAGGATCCCAAGCGTGCAATCGCCGGCATGGAAAAAATGGCGCAGGAAGGCATCCACTATGTCGTGGGACCAAACGTGGATGATGGCGCTGCGGCGGTCCGTCCGGTCGCGGAGGCCAAGGGGATCATGTATTTCCCTTACGCCTTTCCAAAAGAACTCTACACCGCACCGGCGTCCAACGCGGTTCTTGGGATGGTCGCAAACTATCAGTCGGGACCTGCAATTTACAAACACCTCAAGGAAAAGGAAGGTGTGAACACCGTCGCATTCATTGCGGCGAACGAATCCGACCCGCTCAGTCAGCGTGACGGAGGTGTGGCCGCAGCTGAAGCCCTTGGTCTGGAAGTCGTTTCCGACAATGTCACCTACCAGGTCGACACGACCGACTTCACGCCGGTTCTGACCCCCGTCATCCGTACGCAGCCCGATCTACTGGTTCTGTCCGGTGTGTCACCTGCCAACGCCCCGCAGCTGATCCGTTCAGCGCGCGAGCTCGGCTTCCAGGGATTGATCTCGACCGAAACTGCTCAGGACGCGACGGTTCTGCGGGAAGGTGCCGGGGAACTGGCCAACGGCTTTATTTCCGTCGGTGGTGCATCCACACCGGAAATCGCATCGGATGCGATGAAGGAATTTGTCGAACGCTATACAAAGATGTTCGGCGAATACAACGATGAGTCGAATACCAAGGTCTATGCTCTGGAATATATTCTGGAAACGCTCAAGGCGAATCCGTCGGCAATCGACAATGTCAAGGAATTCCAGTCCACCATGGACACGTTCGAGGCGTCTAACCCCTACATGAAGGGCGATGCGAAGCTGCGCTATGTCGGAACATCTTCGTTTGGTCAGAAGCGCCAGGTTGCTGTTCCCCTTGTGGTGAATGTCTACCAGGATGGTGAGTTCAAAACGCTCTTTGTCGCTGAAGTCGACTAAGCCGGTCTTTCTGCTCGGGTTTTGAGCTGGACCAGCGTTTTTCCCGGGCCGATCCTGCGGCCCGGGACACCGGAACCATTCACGGGACTCTCATGGAACAGATTCTAGCAAATGGCATATACCTGGGTGCGCAATACGCGATGATCGCCCTTGGCCTGACGTTGATTTTCGCCTTGATGAACGTACTGAATTTTGCTCACGGGCAGATGTATGTTCTCGGCGGCTTCGTCACCTATACATTCTACGGGCAGCTCGGCTGGCCATTCGTGGTCGCACTGCTGGCATCCTGCGTTACGCTGGCCGTGCTGGGGGCGCTGATCGAAAAATTTCTGTTTGCACCTGTCATAAGACGTTCTTCACGCGAAGAAAGCACGATGTTGTTGGCGGCAGGGCTGGCGTTCTTTTTCGACGCTATCATCCTGCTGGTCTTTGGCGAAAAGCAACGCGGCGTTCCCAAGATCGTGAATGGCGTCCTGAACTGGGATTTCCGGATCATCATGCCCTATGACCGGATACTGATCTGCTTTCTGGCGATATTGTCGATCGTCGGGTTCATCGTCTTCATGCAGTATTCCAAGACCGGGCGGGCGCTGCGTGCACTTGCGCAAGACAGGACCGCAGCTCAGCTCATGGGAGTGAACGTCGAACGTTATTCCATGATCGGATTTGCCATCGGAGCAATGCTGGCCGGCTTGGTCGGCGGTCTGCTGGTGACGATCACTGGTGTCAATCTCGGCATGGGTGGACCGACGTCGATCAAGGCCTTCATGATGGTGATGATCGGCGGCGCAGGTGTGATTTCGGGTGCGATCGCCGGCGGAATCATCCTGGGTTTCATGGAGGCGATAGGCCTGGCAGTACTCTCGCAATACGGCGATATCACCTATCTGCTTATCTTCGTGTCCTTGATGATCTTTCTGGCCATCCGTCCGCAGGGACTGATGGGCAAGCCCTGGGGGTAAGCCGATGCCAAGACTGTCAATGATCCAGTGGACGGGCCTTTTGGCGTTTCTGATCGCCGTCTTTGTTCTTGTCCCGGCCTATATCGCGGCTTCGGGAAGAACCGACTTTTACTACACCCTGACATCGGTTGCCCTGCTGTCGATTGCGAGTGCCGGTGTCTGGCTGACTTTCTACATCGGCCGCATCAATATCGGTCAGGGTGCGTTCGCCCTGATCGGGGCTTACGTGTCTGCAATTCTGGTCACGAAGGCCGGCATTTCATTCTGGCTGTCATTGCCTCTGGCAGGATTGTTTGCCGCCTTAGTATCGGTTTTGATCGGTGTGCCGATCCTAAGGCTGCGCGGTGTCTATTTCGCGATGATCACGCTTGTCCTGACCCAGGTCGTTACACTCACGGCCCTCGCACTGCCGGTCACCAATGGCGCAAAAGGAATCACGTCCATTCCCTTGCCGGGGGAGATCTCGGTATTTGGACTGACGGTTATTCCGGATTTTGCGGGTCTGGAAAATCCGCGTCTCGCTTTCTACTACACATCCTGCGCACTGATGGTGCTGACCTTTGCCGCAATGTACCGGTTGGTGAATTCACGGCTCGGCCATCTGTGTCGCTCGATGCAGCAAAACGAGGAACTGGCCAGCTCGATCGGCGTCAACATCGCCTATATTCGCGTCATTGTGTTTGCGATTTCCTCCTTCCTTGGCGGCATCGGTGGGGCGATGTTCGGATCGATCGCACAATCGGTCTATCCCTCCAGTTTTCAGGTCACCGACAGCGTGAATTTCATGCTGAACTGTTTCCTGGGTGGCCTGGGCTATGTGTTCGGCCCGATGCTGGGAACGCTTGTTCTTTATTTCGGCTGGGATCTTCTTTTCGAGCTCGGGCGGTATCAGCTGCTTGTCTATTCCGGATTGCTGATCATCCTGATGCTCTTCCTGCCTAATGGTCTGCTGAGCCTCAGGATACGCGGCAAGGGAGTTGCAGGCAGATGAGCAATCTTCTCGAAGTTCGCCACGTGACCAGGAAGTTCGGCGGCCTGACGGCCAACAACAATATATCTTTCAGTGTGAACGAAAACGAGATCCTGTCCGTCATTGGCCCGAACGGGGCGGGCAAGAGCACCTTGTTCAAGATGATCTCGTCATTCCTTCCCACATCGTCCGGCGAGGTCCTGTACAGGGGCGAGCGCATCTCCAACCTGAAGCCTCATACCGTCGCCAGGATGGGTGTCGTGCGCACGTTCCAGGAAACAACCATTTTCAAGTCGATGACGGTGCGCGAGAGCATTGTGGTCGCACAGCACCTGCGCGCGAAGGCCTCTCTTGCCGGATACTTCTGGGGCACGAAGTCCGCTCGCGAGGACGTGGAGAGTTTCGGCCGTTATGCGGACGACCTGATCGACTTTCTTGGCATCTCCGCGATCCGCAACGAACTGGCGTCCAACCTTCCGCAAGGCAACCTGCGCGCGCTTGGTCTTGCGATCGGTCTTGCGACTGACCCCAAGGTTTTGCTGCTGGATGAGCCTTTCGCCGGGATGAACCACGACGAAACCATGCGAATGGTTCAACTGGTGCGCAAGGTGCGCGATGACCGTGGTGTGACGGTTTTACTTGTCGAACATGACATGCCTGCCGTGATGAGCATTTCCGATCGGATCATAGTGCTGAATTTCGGCGAAATGATCGCCGAAGGGACTCCAACGGAAATCCAGAACAATCAAAAGGTCATCGAAGCCTATCTGGGCAGTGCCGATGACGAGATCGGAATCTGAGCCATGGCCAAGATGTTGGATTTCGCAAATGTCGAGCTTTACTACGATCACGTTTATGCGCTCAAGGGCGTATCGATCGACCTGGAACAGGGCGAGACCGTCGCGTTGATCGGTTCCAACGGCGCCGGAAAAAGCTCAATCCTGCGTGCGATCACCGGGTTGTCTAGGATCAGGTCCGGATCGATTTTCTTTGAAGGGGAACAGATCGACGGAACCAACGCCGCCGATATCGTTGCCAGGGGGATCGCCATGGTACCCGAAGGCCGGCGTGTGTTTCCCCTCATGTCGGTCAAGGACAACCTGATGATGGGCGCCTTCACGCGCACCGACAGGTCCGGTATCCGGGATACGCTCGATTCGGTGCTTGAACGATTCCCTCGGCTAAAGGAGCGATATGCGCAAAGCGCCGGAACACTTTCCGGTGGCGAACAGCAGATGATGGTGATCGGACGGGCGCTGATGGCAAAACCGCGTCTCTTGCTGCTCGATGAACCATCCTTGGGTATCGCACCGAAACTCGTTCAGGATATCGCCCGTTCCATCGTCGCAATCAATCGTGACGAAGGCGTTTCGGTTCTGCTTGTTGAACAGAATTCTCGCATGGCATTGTCGATCTCGAACAGGGCATATGCGCTCACGACGGGTAACGTCGTTATCTCCGGAAACTCCAAAGAGCTGTTAACTGATCCTCGGATCAAGGCCGCCTATCTTGGCGGGGAAGTGTGATGCTGCCATGAAAATTCTTGTGGTCAATCCAAACACGACACAATCGATGACCCGAAAGATTGAAGCGGTGGCGCGCGCTGCCGTTCATCCCGAAACAGAGATCATTGCAACCAGTTCGAAAGATGGGCCTCCGAGCATTCAGGGCTTTCTGGATGTGTCCACCTGTGTGCCCGGTCTGTTGGCCGAGGTCGCTCGGCACCCGGATGTCGACGCGATTGTCGTTGCCTGCTTCGACGACACTGGTGTGGACGCGGTCCGCTGTCTCACCACCGCGCCGGTGATCGGCGTCGGCGAGGCGGCCTATCACGCGGCGGCCATGATCAGTCCGAAGTTCAGCGTCATCACCACCATGTCCAGGTCTTTGCCGGGCCTGGAAGCCAACCTGATGCGGTACGGGTTGGACCGGAGGTGCGTCAGGGTGCGTGCGACCGACGTTCCGGTCCTGAAGCTTGAGGAAATGGACCCCGGCACGCTCGACAAGATCCGGGCGGAAGTCAAATGTGCCATCGAGCAGGACCGGGCGGAAGCCATTGTCCTGGGGTGCGCCGGCATGAGCGATCTGATGACGCAACTGTCTCGGGAATTCGGTGTTCCGGTAGTTGACGGTGTCGCCTGCGCGGTCACGTTCGCGGAGGCACTCGTGAAGGCAAATCTGTCGACGTCAAAGTCCTGCTCCTATGCGTGATGCCGGTTCCATCGCGTGTCCCCGGCCTCGGCGCACCGGTTTGGCGCACTCGATGTTCACTTATGATAGTTCGTCCGAAAGCCATGAAAGCAGCTTGCCGGTGTCGGAATGGGATGCACGGGTTGGTCCGCGATAAACCGAGATTTCAGCGGGCCGGGTCACAAATTCCTTGCAGGGTCTGATGAGTTTGTTTTCTTCAATCATCGTCTGCGTCGTTCGGCGCCAGCCGAGCGCGACACCCTGGCCCGCAACGGCTGCCTGAAGGGCAACCGGATAGCTGTCGAACTGAACATGACGCGAGCGTTTGGGCTCTTTCGCTTCAACGGCTTCGAACCAGCCTGACCAGTCCATCCAGTCCTGGGGAATGACCCGATGTGACAGCAGCGGATAGGCAGCGAGTTCCCGGGGTTTCAATATCCGTTTCTGCGCCTTCAAGAGCTTGGGTGCACACACCGGAAATATGTCGTCCGATGCCGTAAATGCCAGTCTCGCAGTGCCGGACGGACGACCGGTTGTTTGGACGGCCACATCGAAATGTTCCTTTGCCTCGGTAATCGGATTGAGTGAGCTGACAACTCTCAGTTCAATCCCCGGATGGCGCTCATGAAAACGCGCAAGCCGAGGCATCAGCCAGTAAAAGGCCTCGCATAACTGGCAGTGCAGAACCAGCTCCTCTGACCGTCCGACGCCTCTTAGCAGTGCCATTTCTTCGGCGATATCAGTGAGAGCGCGGCTCACGACCTGGCCAAGCCTGTGTCCTTCGTTCGTAACAAAGACCGCTCTGTTCCGGCGCTCGAAAAGAGTCGTTCCCAGCTCTTGTTCGAGTTGGGCAATTTGCTTGCTGACCGCTGTTTGGGTCATGCCGAGTTCGTCTGCAGCGCGTGAAAAACTTTCAAGCCGCACAGCAGCTTCAAAAGGTTTAAGGCGGGAAAGTGGCGGGAGCGAGTGGCGCAAGTTTTTCATAACCTAGGCTCATGCAAAAACACGGAAATATCGCTTTTTTACAATATCTATCCATGATTTCAAATACGAAGCACGTAGCCGGTCACATACCGTGCCTGCATAGCTGATCCATCGAACAGCCGGAGTTGCAAATGTCGTCCACTGCAAGGATTGGACTTATGTATTGTCTCGTCTTCGTTTCCCTGGAGGCTTTTCAGGCAGTTTACCTCGGGGCGGTTTTCCAGAAAGTCGACTCGTTTTTGGTTGGGGCGTGGGTGTTCGGTATTTCTGTCGTCGGCTGCACTGTGATGACTGCCATTTTCCGGCCTGACGAGCTTGCAGTGTCATTGAGGGCGTGGAGAATTGTACTCGCACTCAATCTGTTCGCAGCGGTGACGTGGTGCACCTATTTCCTGGCAGTTCAGCTTATCGAACCGGCGATTGTATTCACGATTTTTTCGGGCATGGTCCCGATGGGTACGGTTCTGGCGAAACTGATTGGTTTGCCGGAGGCCTCGTCCTTCAGACGGAAGTCGGTTGATCTGGGCAACATCCTGATTTTCCTGGCGATCTTGTTTCTCGCTGCAATAACGGTTTTGGGCTTCTCCGGATTTGTGCGTGGAGGCTGGCTCATGGCTGTGGCTGGTGTTGTCTTGTCTGCGCTTTCGGGCACCTGTACGGCCTTTGTCATTCTTTTTTCCGTACGCCTGAACGGTCATGGCGTGGGCCCGTTGGCACAATTCGGACTTCGTTTCTTGCTGTATACGTGTCTTGCCCTGATCGCGTTCGCGGCAGGTTTGGACGACAAGGGAGATCACACCGTAGTCGCGGATTTAGCCCTGGTTGTCCTGATCGGATTGGCCGTCATTGCCTTCCCCCTCTATCTTGTTCAACGGGCAATCCCGCTCCTGCAGGCGTCGGTGATAGCTGCCATGACGGCTCTGGGCCCGGTAATGGTGTTTTTGATGCAATTGATGGAAAGTCGGGTCGACTATTCGGGAGCGACACTTGTGGGGGTGAGTATCTACATGGCTGGTGCCTTGCTCGCGGTTTTCGGTGCGACGCGACCGGCGGCAGGTTCTTTCAGTCCAGGCAAGGACAGTCAAAGTAACTGTCATTGAGTCCAGAAAATGCAAATCTGGTTTTCTCGTCCGGCGTTTTGTCGCAGATCACATATCCAGGGTCTCTTCTAGTTTTGCGATGAACGACAGAACATGCGCGTCCGCCCCGCGTGCACCGATGACCTGAAGCGCTACTGGCAACCCTGCATGTGTCTTGCCGCATGGAAGAACGCCCGCGGGTTGTTGCGTCAGATTGATCGGGAAACTGAAGCTGGCCCATTCCGTCCAGCGTTCAAGGCCTGAACCTAACGGGACTTCCAGCCCGGCTTCGAACGCCGGAATTGTGACTGCCGGCGACAGGATGAAATCATGGTCGGCAAGCGCCTGATCCATTCTTGCACCGAAGTCGGCTCTTTCGACCTGGGCATCAACAAGACGCCGGGCGTCGAACGCGGCACCGGTGTCTGCTACCTCCACCAGACCCGGATCGATCCTCGCGCGGTCCGCGGCACCAAAAGGGGAAAGACGCGCGGCAGCACCGGAAAACCAGTGAACGTGGAACATGTCAAGAAGGTTCCTGCCAGGCAATTCGAAAGGCTCGACGATTGCCCCTTCCGCCTCCAGTGATTTCAGTTGCCGGTCGACAATCGCCGCGATTTCCGGATCCAGAGTGCCTGCCGGTGGTGTCGACCAGTAGCCGATGCGCAGTCCCTTGAGCGACACCGGCGCCAGTTTCAGTGGTGCGAGTACCGCTTCTCCCTGGTACCAGTCTCGCCGATCCCGGCCCGACATCGACTTGAGCATGGCAAAGGCGTCTGCCGCGTTGCGGCACATCGGTCCTATATGGGCTACGGTCCCGAAAGCACTGGCCGGATAGGCAGGAACCCGTGTGAATGTCGGTTTCAGCCCTGTGAGGCCGCAAAAGGCCGATGGAATTCTGATTGATCCGCCACCATCGGTACCCAGGTGAAAGACACCGGCGCCAAGTGCCGCCGCGACGGCCGCGCCTCCCGATGATCCACCTGCAGTCTTATCCTTGTTGCGGGGGTTCCGGGTGATCCCGAACGCCTTGCTGTCGGTGACCGCTTTCCAGCCGAATTCCGGTGTCGTTGTCTGCGCGAGGAAGATGACACCCGCATTTCGCATCAGCTGAACGCTCGGCGCATCCTCGGTCGCAGGAGCGTCACTTGTAACAGAGCTACCGTACCGCACCTGCCAATCCTTGACCCAGACAATGTCCTTGATCGTTGCGGGGATGCCGTCGACCTCTGAAAGAGGTGCCCCATTTGCCCAGCGGTTTTCCGAGGCTTTCGCCGCATCCAGCGCTCTGGCGTGATCGATGAACGAGAAGGCATTGAAGACGGGATCGATTTCCTCGGCTCTCGCCAGACATGCCCCGACGACCTCGACGGGAGAAACGGATTGTTGGCGATAGGCCTCGGCAAGCTCGCGAGCACTCATCTGACAAAGCGGGTCCGCGCTGTTAAACGCCGGGTCGTCGGTGGTCATCGGCAATCGCCTTTTGTTCTGTTCCGCCTGGATGGTATTGGATTTTCAGGCCCTGGCCATACCTAATCAGCTTTCTTGATGGATGAGAACGGAACTACAACAATTGTAAGAGCGGATAGCTTCACAAGGGCTGCTCAACGATCATGTGAATCACAGGCGAATGCGCAATGACGGTCGTCAATTTGCACCGGACACCAGCGGCAGGCTGACGCGGAGCATGGAAGCTCCCTCCTGACCGGTGACAACGAAGGCTGTGCCACCATGAGCTTCGGCGATCTTGCGCACAAGGGGCAGACCAAGACCGTAGCCGTCTACATTCTGCTTGTCGGAAGCGCGAAAAAAAGGCTGAAAGACATTTTCCCTGTCTTGTTCCGCGATGCCGTTGCCGCAGTCGATCACGTCGATCTTGACGGTATTGCCGGCTACGGAGAGGCTGATCGTCACCGGCGGTTCGCCGTGCTTGAACCCGTTTTCCAGTAGGTTTCCGAGCATGCGATGCAAAAGCCGCGGGTCGCCGACGATTTCGGGCGCACGTCCGGAATACGAACAATTATCGAAACGCGAGCATTCCTCGGCAATCAATGCGAGAAGGTCAACCGGTTCGCTCTGGCCCATTGAGGTGTCTCCGTCGAGACGGCTCATGACAAGGATCTCGTCGATCAGGGCGTCAAGTTCGGCAATGTCCCGCTGGAGTGCGCTGAGCCGTTTCGCCGACTGGTCTGTCTGCTCCATTTCAAGACCGAGTTTGATACGCGCGAGCGGCGTTCTCAATTCATGCGATGCGTTGGCAAGCAGAAGCCGGTGCGCTGTAACCAGCTTTTCAATCTTGTCAGCGGCCGCGTTGAATTTAAGGGCAAGCTGAGCGACTTCGTCCTGACCCTGCACGTCAACACGCGCATGGAGATCTCCGGAGCCGATGCGCTCAACGCCCTGGCTCAGGGTTTCAAGACGTTTCGCCAGACGGCGGGAAATCGGGTAAACGCCGATCCCCACGCTGACGGCGACAAGAACCAGCGTAAGCAACAGGTTCAAGAGTGTACCGAGCGGGGCTCCGTCATGTGCATCGGCAATCAGCTGGCGTCCGTCCGGGAGCATCAGCGAAAGAACAGGTCCGCCGCGTGTCCGGAACCAGCCGGTCTTGCCAGCATGTCGTTCCGGGGGCAGGTCGGCTTCACCGAATGCAGCGATCAGCTGGCCGTTTTTGTCGAACAGCGACAAGGCGATGTCGAGTTCCTCGCCAAGTCCTTCGATCGTGCGTCGCTGGTCGGCGATACTTGCGTCGGCTGCTGGCAGTGTCAGTGCAACGAATCGACTGACCGTGTCCAGGATGTTCCGGTTATGACGGTCCCGGCCCACAACCTCCCACAATATGCCTGACAGGATCACCACCAGCACAAGACTTGCAACGATGGTCGCATAGATCTGGAGGTAGAGCCGGCGCATCAGGATCGATGTGAAAAGGCGACGCATGTCGCGCTCCTATTCCTGCGACCGGGCGAAGACATACCCGGCCCCTCGTACGGTGATAAGCCGGCGGGGTTTGTTGGGGTCGTCCTCGATTTCCGCGCGAATGCGTGAAACATGCACGTCGATCGAGCGGTCGAAGGCTGCAAGGTTCTCGCCCTTGAGTGCATTCATGATCGTGTCTCGGGAAAGCACACGGCCGGCACGACTGGCAAGAACTTCCAAAAGCTGGAACTGGTGTGCAGTCAGGTTGCAGACGTGGCCGTCGACCCTTGCTTCCATCGCAAAAGAGTCAATTTCTAGCCTGCCGAAGCGCAATATTCTGGTGTCCGTTTCACTGCGGCCGCGGCGCAACACCGCTTTCAGGCGGGCAAGCAGTTCTCGTGGTTCGAACGGCTTTGGCAGGTAATCGTCCGCGCCGAGTTCCAGTCCGATTATCCGGTCCATCGGCTCACCTTTCGCCGTGAGCATCAGGATCGGGGTTCGGTCGTTCGCCCGCAGCTTGCGGCAGACTTCCAGACCATCGATGTCGGGCAGCATGATATCCAGCAGGATGGCGTCGAATTGCTGTCGTCTTTGCTGGTCCAGACCTTTCTGGCCGTCAGCGGCAATCGTGACCTTGAACCCCGAGGCGCCGAGATAGTCCCGGACCATCTCGGCAAGTCGGTTGTCATCCTCAATCAGGAGAATCTGCTGGGGCATTCTTGGCAAGGCTCAGATAGGTTCAGCGATGGCGGAAACGTCGACCCATAGCACGGAATTCCTCGATACGCTCGTCGAGTTGTGCTCTCTGCTCAGGTGTGAGTATCGCCGCAACATCGACGATCATCGCGGTCAACGTCTTGCTGATCTCATCCGCCACGGCCAGTTTTTCAGCGCGCAGCGCCTCGATTGCAACGCGATCGATTTCCTGTGCCAATAACAGTGCGCGCAGGTCTTCCGAAACGCTCGCGAATTCCTGGTGGTTTTCCTTCATCCCGAGCGCGACCGGCGTCACGATGCTGACGATCTCTGTCTGCTGCTCCGGCGTGGCGTCAATCTCGATGGCGACGTGGCGGACGACGCGCGTCAGTCGTTCCTTGATGTCGTCGTCGCTCATCCGGTGCAGCATGCCCGGACCACCTCCACCTCGGCGCCAGCCCACAGTCTGAACGTTGGGGAGTTCGGCACGTCCGGGCGCGACGAGGTTGCCGAACCCCGCTGTTTGAGGAGCGCTGGTCACGGCCAATGCGGTTCCCGACAAAATGCCGGCACAAATGACGCAAGTCGCGACGACACGCCCCGCTTTTGCCGTGCTTGATCTCAGGCGGGAGTTCTCAAGTTTGTTAAGCATGGAAGGCTCCTGTGGGTTGAAGAAATTTTGAAGCAAAGTCTCTGACCATCGCCGGAAAAGGCAGGGGCGGACCCTGTCCAGCGTTTTCCGGCGATCGGTCGAACTGTCTTTTGCGTCCCCCGGCAATCTAGAATTGGATCGCTTCGGTTTCTGCCGTTCGTCGCTTTTGTAAAGAAATGTAAAGTGGACCTTCCGAGGTCATTCCGGGCCCGGCTGAACAGGTTTCTGTGCTGGCAGCGAGATTGCCGGAACACGGGTTCGTGTGACTTCTGCACTGATTTTGGCCTTCAAAAGCCTGGCATCCCAAAATGTTCGAAAGTGTCATACAGCCGTAATGACTCGGCGGTATTGATCGTCTTGCACACGTGTGCAAAGATCCTATCCTGCGCTGTGAATTCCTCAGGGAGGCGGCGCAAGACAGAAAGCAGGTGAGATTGATGACTACTCTTGTTTCCAAACTGCGCCAGTCCACTGCGGCTGCCGTTCTGGCTCTCACAGCAGCGACCGTTGCCGGCGAAGCCTTCGCAAAAGATCTGACAATCACCGTATGGGCCGGGGGGTCCAACGACAGCGATGCGTATCGCTGGGAAGCCATTGAAATGGCGGCCGACATTCTGGAGCGCGAAGCTGCGATCCTCGGCGAAGACCTGAATATTACCGTTGAAGCCAAGGGGCAATTCGGTAACTGGCAGGAATTCAAGCAGGCGGTTACGCTGGCAGCCGAAGCAGGTACTGCGCCGAATATCGTCGTTACCTCCCATCTCGATATCGCACCCTGGTCGGAAGCCGGCTACATCGTTCCGGTCGAAGAATATCTCGATATCGATGCCTGGCCGCTCAACGACATCTATCCCAACATAATGGAAATCGCTGCATTCGATGACGTGCAGTGGGGCCTGCCGCAGGATGCGGAAAGTCGTCCGTTTTTCTTCTGGAAAGACACTTTGAAAAAGATCGGCTACAGCGACGAAGACATTGCTGCAATTCCGGCCAGGGTTGAAGCTGGCGAATACACGCTGCAGAACGTTCTCGAAGACGCCAAGAAGGCGGTTGACATGGGCGTCGTGGAGGAAGGCTACGGCTTTTACCCACGCGTTTCCAACGGTCCCGACTACGCGCAATTCTATCAGTCTTTCGGCGGGGAGCTCCTTGATCCGGATAGCGGCAAGCTGGTCCTCGACAAGAAAGCGATGGAAGAATTCTACCAGTTTTTCGTTGATGCCGTTGATGCCGGAATCACCCGGAAGAACCATCTCGGAACCGATTGGGGCCAATGGTACAACGAGGTCGCCAATGGCAAGGCCGCCATCTGGCACGGCGGCACGTGGCACTATGGCCGCTATGCCCAGGAAGGCAACGAGGATTTCTGGAATACGATCGAGTTTTCCTTGATCCCAGCCGGCACTGAAAATGGTCGCGCCAACACAATTACGCACCCGTTGGTCTACCTCATCACCGACAATGCGGATGACGAGGCAGAGGAAATTGCGGCCAATCTCGTGAAGATTGCTTCCGAGCCGCGCCTCAATACGCTGCACGCGATCAAGTCCAATCACCTTGGTATTTCAAGACAGCAGTCCAACATCGAGCTCTATTCGAACAACCGCTGGGCTGACGAAGCGACTGACCGCCTGCTTGCCCACGCGAACTCTCAACCGAACCACGTCAACTACGGAGCGTATTCGGAGGCATTGTTCAAGGGACTTGAAGCGGCCTGGACCGGCACAAAAACTCCGGCCGAAGCGGTTGCCGAGGTTGAAGTTCAAATGAAAGCCACTCTCGGCGACGAATTGATCGTCCGCTAAGCCCATAACCTAATCAGCAAGCGGACGGGGCGGCTGCCGCCCTGTCCGGCCTCAAACGGGAGCATCTTATGCAACGCTCGAGCTGGCTGGGTTTGGCCTTTCTGTCTCCTGCACTCATCGTCGTCCTGTTGTTTTTCATGGTGCCGGTGGTACTGACAGGCTTTTTTGCGTTCACCAACATGAGCACTGCAACGGGTGTGAAGGGCGGCGAGTACGTCCTCAACGCCAGCGGATTGCGGGCGCTCGCGGATGCAGGGCTTCCTGCAAAGACACTGGATCAGATCGAAGGCGCCGGTTACCGGGTGGATGCCAGGGGACTGGAAGCCTTGGCTGCGGATTTTGGTCAGCCGACTGCGGATGAATTTGGCAAATTGCACACCGGCGAGGTCTTTGCCAAGCGACGCGACGTCGAACGCGCGCTGAAAGGTCTACGCTCAAACCCGATCCGGAAAACGCGGGACCGCAAGGCCGCCGCTGAACTGTTCAAGCGGTCCATGATGAACGAGCGCTTCCCAACCTTGCCCGCATTTGAAGCGGCACTTGAGGAAGCGAAGATCCCGGAGGCCGACCGTCCATTGATCACGAAGGTCGCCTATACCGGTTGGGTCTGGACAGCAGAAAATTTCGGCTTCCTGTTTTCACTGGAATCCACGTGGCAATACGCCAAGAACACCGGGATCTATGTGGTGTTTACCCTGTCGTTCAACGTGCTTTTCGGATTGTTCCTGGCAATTGCAACATTCTATTTGCCGGCGGGGCAAGCGTCCACTTTTCGGGCGATCTGGTTTCTTCCGCGCATACTTCCGCCGGTGCTTTACATCGTGATGTGGCGCTGGTTCACCTGGGACACAGGGTTCATCTCCACGGTGCTGTCTGGCTTCGGCGTGGCGCCAAAGAACTGGATGCTGGACACCGAGTTCCACGCCTGGACGACAATAGTCCTGATCAACGGATTTGTCGGTGCTTCGATGGGGATGATCGTGTTTTCCTCCGCCATCCGGGCGATCCCGTCCTCCATGCTCTACGCCTCGGAAGTCGATGGTGCCAATCGGCTGCAGCAGATCTGGCACATCATTCTACCGCAGCTCCGCTGGCCGATCCTCTTCATCACGTCCTATCAGACCATGTCGCTGCTGACGTCGTTTGAATACATCTACCTTGCAACTGACGGGGGACCGGGCGGTGCCACGGAGGTATGGGCCCTGGCAGCGTTTCATACGGCCCTCAACAACTACGGCGGCAACCTGCAATACGGACTGGGTGCGACCTATGCCCTGCTCCTGGTCGTCATCGGGCTGCTGGCGAGCCTCGCCTATCTGCGGCTGTTCAATTTCCGCAACTTGCTCATAAAACCGCGGATCGAGGGATAAAGTCATGAGGCAGAACTTCCGAAACTGGCCAGTTCTTCTGGTGCTCTTTGTCTTCTCCGCTCCGCTCCTGATAATGCTTACCTTCCTGCTGGTGGATGCGTTTACGACAAAGGTTCCCGGAACCATGGTTCCGAGCGGTGTCACCCTGCACCATTTCCGTTTCCTCTGGACCGATCTCGACAACGGCAGCTGGGGCATCTGGGGCGTGACGCTGAACACCTTCAATTTCGCCCTGTTCACCTCTCTTGCCGTTACCGCGATTTCGGTTACTGCCGGTTATGCCCTGTCACGCCTGGCGTTCCCGGCGCGCGGGTTTTTTCTCGGCGGTTTGATCGTGCTCCACGCCTTTCCGACCGTCACGCTGATCATCGCGATATTCCTGATCCTGCAGTTGCTTGGTCTCTACAACACCCTGATCGGCGTCATCGTGGTCAAGGCGGCGCTGGAATTGCCATTCGGCATCTGGGTAATGAAGGGTTTCTACGACACTGTTCCCTGGGAAATCGAAATGGCCGGTGTCCAGGACGGGGCGAGCCGGTTCACCGTGTGGTGGAAACTGATCCTGCCTCAGGTTCAGCCCGGCCTGATGGCTATCTTGATTTTCTCGTTTCTGTCGGGCTGGTCTGAGTTCATCCTGCCGATGGTGCTTGCACCCGGTAACGATGCGCAGGTGCTGTCCACGTATCTGGCAACCATGCTTCTCGATGGTGGAACGCAGGCGGACTTCAATCTCTTCAAGGCTGTCGGCCTTTTCTACGCGCTGCCGGTCATCATCATCTATCTGGTTTTCCAGAACAAACTCATGAACATCTATGGCGGAGGCACGAAGGGCTGATGCGTATCTCGATCGAAAATTTCACCAAGGCATTCGGGACCACGACCGTGATCAAAGACATGTCCCTGGAGATCAATAGCGGGGAAATGCTGGCGTTGCTTGGTCCGTCCGGTTGCGGCAAGTCGACAACGCTTTTTGCAATCTGCGGCATCCACCGGATGAATTCGGGGCGGCTCTTGTTTGGCGAGCGCGATGTCACCCGGATATCCTCACAACAGCGCAATGTCGGCGTCGTGTTTCAGAATTACGCGCTTTACCCGCACATGAATGTCTTCGACAACATCGCATTTCCGCTGAAAGTGCGAAGGGATACCCGGGCAGACATTGAACGGAAGGTCAAGGATATTGCGGATCTCGTTCATATTGGCGAACTGCTCCACCGCAAGCCTGCCGAGCTATCCGGAGGCCAGCAGCAGCGTGTCGCTCTTGCGCGTGCTCTGGTGCGCGAGCCCGACATTCTCCTGCTGGATGAGCCGCTTGCCAATCTGGATGCAAAGCTGCGTCTTGAAATGCGGTCCGAAATCCGCCGTATCCAGCAACAGACGGGGATCACGGCCGTGCTTGTCACGCATGACCAGGTCGAGGCGATGTCCATGTGCGACCGGATCGCGATCATGGACCAGGGGAAAATCATGCAGCTATCGTCTCCCAAGGAGATGTATGAGGATCCTTCTTCGGATTTTGTCGCTGGTTTCCTTGGCAATCCACCGATTGCCTTTCTGGAAGGTGTTGCAGCGGAGGGGGGAATGCGCCTGGCCAATTCCGAAGTTACGCTTCCCGTTCCTGCCGCAATCAACCTGCCGGATCATGGCGCTGCGGTCCGTTTTGGAATTCGGCCGGAATTTTTCCAGCCCGATAATGATCTAAAGATCAAAGGCAGGATCAGCTTCGTGGAAACGCAAGGCCGTGAAGAGCTTTATGACGTTACGCTGGAAAACGGCTCGGTGCTGCGGTCGATCCAGTCGCAAGGTGGCAGTTTCAAATTGGGGGACAACGTGAACTGGGGGATCGCCGGAGACCGGATTCTGGCCTTCGATGCTGCCGGCAACAGGCTTTGAAGGGTCTCCGATGACATCCTTTCTGCCTGGAAAGACCTGGATTCGAGACCGCTGCGACGGGCCTCTGGTGATCGCGCATCGCGGAGCCAGCGCCCATGCCTTTGACAACACGATGCGTGCTTTCAGGGTTGCACATGAGCTTGGTGCGGACATGTGGGAAGTCGACGTCCGCCTGACAAAGGATGGCGTACCGGTCGCGTTCCACGACGAAGATCTGAGAAAGACATGCGGCGTTGACAGATTGCTTTGTGATGTGAGCGCGGAAGAGCTCTTTGAAATGACGGCCTTTGCGGGACGGCAGGCCCCCGCGTTTTCCCAGGTGGCCAGGTTGGCCGCGGATCTGGGCGCGGGAATTTATCTGGATGCAAAAGAGGGTCATGCCGCTTCCCTGGCGATCGAAAACCTCGTTGAAAACCGGATCGAACGGGTCATTGTCGGTGCCAACACACCAGAATACTGCGCTGAATTGATCGCAGGCGGTTGTCCGTATCCGGTCTCGATCCTCGTCGGTCCCGGCCGTGATCCGTTCGCAATTGCCAGCGCATGCGGGGCAGAGCTTGTTCACCCGTGCTGGGAGCATGCGAGCGACAGGCCGGACAGGCTTCTTGACGATACATTCTTCCGGAAAGCAAATTCGCTCGGGCTGCCTGTCGTGACCTGGCATGAAGAACGAGCAGATGTGCTGGCCGAGCTGGTTCAGATGCCCATACTTGGTATTTGTTCCGACAAGCCGGAAATGGTCCGTCCTTACTCATCCGATCCTTTGCATGTTCCTGAAATCGTTTGCCACCGGGGGGCTTGCAGGATTGCCCCTGAAAACACGGGTGCCAGTGCCAGGACAGCCTGGGATGGCGGCTTCGACTATGTGGAGATTGATGTACGCGAAACGGCCGACGGGCAACTGGTCCTCCACCACGATGAAACCCTCGAGCGCACGACGACCGGGACGGGGCCACTGGCAGGCCGCAACCTGCGTGAGCTGCAAAAGCTGGATGCCGGCAATTGGTTCGATGCCTTTTTCAAGGGAATACGACTACCCACGCTTTCGGAATTCGTGTTGCTTGCTGCGAAAGGCAACCGGAAACTCTATGTCGAGATCAAGCAGGCTGACGCCGTGAAGACGGCCGGGGAGGTTCTCGGCAAACTGTCGCACGAACAGGTTTTCTTCTGGTCGTTCGATCAGAGCCGAATGATGCAAATCCGCAAAGCCTACCCGAACGCACGCCTCATGGTTCGGCCGGAGGATTATGAGACGCTGGAGGACTGCCTGTCGGCTTATGACGCCGATATCGTCGAATTCAATGCCCGGAACGCGAACCCTGGGGATGTTGCAGCGGTTCGGGCTGCCGGGCGCAAGGTAATGCTTGCCTATATGGGTGACGACCTTAACGTTCTCTCGGAGCTCGCTCAGCTTCAACCGGATCTTCTCAACGTGAATGAGCCGTTTCTTGTCCGGAAGATGTTCATTCAATCGGAAAAGGACGGAACAAGCGATGGCTGATCGAGGGAGTTCGAAGAAACAGGTTAATTCCTTCGATGTTGCCCGGCTCGCCGGCGTTTCACGTTCCGCCGTGTCGCGAACCTTCACCGACGGTGCCAGCGTCTCTGAGGAAACACGCGAAAAAGTGACCAGGGCCGCGACAGAACTCGGCTATCGGGTCAATGTTCTTGCGCGCTCGTTGCACAAGCAGAAATCCGATCTGGTCGGTGTGGTCGCCGCGGATCTGGACAACCCCTTCAGGGGGGAGCAGATCGATCTCTTGTCGCAAGGCCTTCTGGAAATGGGACTGCGCCCCATTCTTCTAAGGGGAGACCCGTCGACCGACGTCGCCGATCTTATCGGCTCCCTGCTTCAATACAGCGTTGCCGGTGTCATCGTGACGTCCGACACGCCACCTGAAGAAATCTGCCGCGAATGCCTTGAAAACGGCGTGCCGCTTGTCGTGGTCAACAAGCGTGATCCGGGTGCCCCGGTCGATCGCGTGGTGACCGACTTCGAGGCTGGTGGACGGTTGGCATTCGATCATCTCATCTCGTGCGGTTGCCGGAAGCTCGCTGTCGTGACACCGGAGCGGTCGTCTTACTCTGTGAACGGTCGGGCACTCGCGTTCGAACAGGCAGCCAATGATGCAGGCTTCCCGGTGGTTCGCATCGCCTGGGGAGCTCAATCCTATGACGGTGGTCTGGCAGCATCCGCTTACGTCAACCGCGTGAAGAGCGAAATCGACGGAGTCTTCTGTACAGCCGACTATCTTGCACTGGGCGTCCTCGACGGATTGCGCCATGAACACGGCATCAGGGTGCCGGAAGATATGCAGGTGATTGGCTATGACGATATAGTTCAGGCATCCTGGAAGTCATATGACCTGACCACGATCGTTCAAAGCCGCAAGGATCTTTGCGATATTACGCTGAACCTTCTGATGCAGCGACTGGTGGATCCGGATCTGCCGCAACAGATTGAGGTGAGCGGCGTCTCCTTGAGGCAACGGAAAACCACCACCGGCTGACAATTCTCTGCAAACACGTTCGGGAAGCACACCGGAGAGAATGTGCCGGGTATGTGGCAATCTGGAGCCGCCCGGACCTGCGAGCAGCGGCAGGTTTAGCGACCTAATCCGTGCTGTATCCATTGAACACGATATGGACCTTCATGGCACGCGCCCTGTCACCGGCATGGTCAAATGCTTCGGCCGCCTGTTCAAGCGGGTAGGAAGGGCTGATGATCGGTCCAACGTCAATTGTTCCCTCATCGATTGCCTTGACTGCAGCCGCGAATTCCGCGTGAAACCGGTGTGTTCCCCTAACCGTTATCTCCTTGCTGACAATCAGGTTGAGCGGCATGGGCGTGTCTCCCGCAACTCCGACGGTTACGAGCGTTCCCCGCGGACGCAGGCTGAGCAGAGCGTCCTTGATCGCAGCCGCCGACGCTGAACATTCAAACGCGACGTCGAACTGTCCCTTGTCGGTCTTGTATGGAGCAAGGCCATCAGGATCAGTGCTCAGGTCAATTGTTTCGTTCGCACCCATTTGTCTTGCCACGGCAAGTGGCATTGCCTGCAAATCCGTGACGGCAATTTCGGAGGCATCTGCGTCTTTCGCCGCGGCAACGCACAACGCGCCGATCGGTCCCGCTCCTGTTACAAGAACCCGTTGACCCTTGAGGTCGGGCGCCTGCGCGCGGGCATGCAGGCAAACTGCCAGAGGTTCTGCGCAGGCGGCCTTGCGGGCCGAAACCTTGTTCCGGTAACGGAATGCCTGGCGCGCAGGAACGACAACCCGTTCGCGAAAGAGGCCTTGTTCGTGCGGAAGTCGGTAGGCCGATCCCATGAACCGCATTTCAAGGCAATGAACCTCTTCACCGGCCTTGCAGAACTTGCAGCTCCCGCATGGTTGGCTTGGATTGATGGCAACAAGGTCGCCATGTTGAAACGCATCGGCACCTTCACCGACCGCAACGACACGACCGGCCGCCTCATGGCCCATGGCGATAGGCTCTCTCACACGCACAGGGCCGAAGCCGCCATCATGGTAGTAGTGCAGGTCTGAGCCGCAGATACCACCGGCAAGAATGTCGACCTTTATTTCTCCAGGTCCCAATTGCGGTTCAGGATGCTTTTCAAGCCTCAGGTCACGGATTCCATGCAGGACACAGGCGCGAGACATCATGGTGGATCCTATTGGAAGATGAGGTTCGGCAACCAGGTTGCCAGGGCCGGGATGAACGACACCAGCAAGAGAACGATGATATTGCTCAAAAGGAAGGGAAGGATTGCCTTGACCACCGGTGTCAGCGGCAGCCGGGCGATGCCGGCACAGACAAACAGGCAAACTCCGACCGGTGGTGTCGTCAGTCCGATCATCAGGTTGAGCACTGCGAATGTTGCAAAATGCAGGGGTTCAATACCAACTGCCTGCGCCAGAGAAAGCAGGGGCACGAAGAGGATGATCAATGCGGCGATCGTTTCCATGAACATGCCGACAAAGAGCAGAAGCAGGTTGATGATCAGGATAACGAGAATGGGATTGTCGGTAATCGTCAACACGGCGCTGGCGATCGCCTGAGGTATCCGTTCCGAGACGAGGATCCAGCCGAAAACATTCGCCAGTCCGACAAGAGCCAGGATCGAGGCTGCCGATACGGCGCTGTCCACGATGATCTTCGGCACTTTTTTCAGCGGCAGTTCGCGGTAGACGAACGCTCCGACAATGAAGGCGTAAACACTGGCGACAACTGCGGTTTCGGTGGGTGTGGCGATGCCGCTCAGGAGCCCGTAGATGATGATGCCGGTCATGGCGATCGCCCAGAAAGCGCTTCCCAGGGCGCGCACGAGTTCGCTTGCGCCGCGCCAGGGTTCGCGGGGAAAGTTTTTCCGGCGTGCGATCACGTAGCAGGTGATCATCATCGCAAGACCCATCAAAAGACCCGGAACGGCGCCTGCCATGAACATCTGGCCAACAGAAATGCCGCTGAGCGCGCCGACGATGATCATCGGGACACTCGGTGGAATGATCGGGCCGACCGTGGAGGAGGCGGCGGTGACGGCTGCGGAAAAGTCGGCCGGATAACCGGCTTTTTTCATGCCCGGTATCATGACGCCACCTATGGAGGCAGCATCCGCGACGGCCGTTCCGGTGATGCCGCCGAAGAGCATGGAGGCGCCGATATTGGTCAGGCCGAGTCCACCCCGGACCCAGCCGACCAGAGCATTCGCAAACCGGATGATGCGCTCGGTGATGCCGCCATTGTTCATCAGGTTTCCGGCCAGAATGAACCCCGGAATGCTCAGAAGGACAAAGACATCGATCCCCGCGTAGACCTTTTGCGGGATGACGACCAGCGGAATGCCGGAGACCAGCAGATAGCTTAGGGACGAAAGGCCGAGAGCAATGGCAACGGGGATGCCGATCACGAGCGATCCCACGAAAACGGCAAACAGAACAAAGACCTCCACGCTCAGGTCTCCCGTTTCATGTCAGCTTCATCAGCCGACAACAGCGTCAGAACGGCTCGAACCATTGCAAAGGCAAGCAGGAGAAGAAAAAGAAGAAAGACGCTGAAATGGATAAAGGACATCTGTAGGCCCATTGCCGGAGATTTCTGGAGTAACCCGATTTGCACGTATTTCCAGGCACCGGGCAGCAAGATGGCCGCAAGAAACGCCGTTGCCAGAGAGGCGACCAGGCGAAGAATACGCGGCCAGGGATCGGGGAGGGTGTCGCAGACGATGTCGACATTCACCAGGTCTCCGCTCATCAGACCCAACCCGACACCAAGTGCCGTCATGTAGATCAGCGCAAACCGGGTAAGTTCTTCTGTCCAGACGGGAGAGTCGCCGATCGTTCGCCCCAGCACCTGGGTGAGCACCGCCATGATCAGAACCATGAAGGCAACAAAAACCCCGATACGGCAGAGAAGCTCGAGGCTTCGATGGACTTTGAGAATGACCTTCATGAATTGACCTGGATAAAGACCCGCCGCCAGGTAATCCCGGCGGCAGGCAAGTTGGGGAGGGACTACTTCTGACTGTTGAAGAGATCTTCCACGATCGGTTTGACCTCGTCGTTTACGTTCGCCAGAACTGCGTCCTTCGCCGCTGCTGCATAGGCTGCTCCATCGACCTCGACAAAGGTCATTCCCTTGTCTTCCAGATAGGCACGGTCTTCTGCGAGACTGGCCTCAAGAAGGCCTCGTTCAAAAGCCTGGGCGCGTTTCGCCGCTTCAAGAACGCTTGCCTGGTCTTCGGGGCTGAGGTTTTGCCAGGTCGATTCAGCAATCGTCAGGTAGATCCAGGATCTGACGTGCTGGGTCAGGTTCACATGTGACTGGACCTCGTTGAAATTCGCCGAACGGATCAGGGCAAGCGGGTTTTCCTGAGCCCCGATGGTGCCGTTCTGCAAGCTTGTGAACACTTCCGAAAAGGCCATGGGTGTCGGCGCGGCCCCAAGTGCTTTCCAAACGTCAACGAAGAGTGGCACATTGGGAACGCGCATCTTCAGGCTCTCAAGCTGATCCGGAGACGGGATGGCCCGGTTTGACGTGAGATTGCGTGGTCCGCGCGCGAAATAGGCAATTGGCCTGATCTGCGCCTTTTCGACAATTTGTGCCTTGATCTGGTCGCCGATATCGCCGGAGGCGATTTCGTCCATGTGCTCGGTCGACGCATAAGCGTATGGGACTGCGAGAAGCGCTGCCATCGGAGCCCAGTTCTGCAGGCTTTCGCCGGTGATTGTCATGTCGACCGTGCCAAGCTGCATGCCATTGATCAGGTCGATTTCCTTGCCGAGCGACTCGTTCGGATAGACCTCGACTGCGATCCGCCCATCGGTCAGTGTCGAAAGCTCTTCACCGAATTTGACCGCTGCCTTGTGCCAGGCATTCTGCTCGTTTGCCAGGTGACCCAGCTTCAATGTCGTTTCCTGCGCCATTGCAGCCCCTGCAGCGAACTGCGATACGACGCATGCCGCGAGGAAAGTCCTAAATCTGAATGCCATGTTCCGTCACTCCCTGTTGAATGGTGATCCATCAGTCGCCAGATCCTCGCAGCGATCAAAATAGATCTGATTTCTCTGAATGATCTGGGGCAGAGTTTTGAGGATCTCGTTCAGATGTTCACGCATCGCCCGGGAGGCTGTGTCCGGGTTGCCTGCTTCGATCTGATCGACAATGGCCGTGTGCTGTTTGATCAGCGTGGCGATTGGAAAGAGTTCGAAGCTCAGGAACCTGACCCGGTCCATCTGGCTCTTCAGCCCTTCCACGAATTGCCACGCAACGTCCTTTCCGGCAGCCTCTGCAAGGGTGCGGTGGAATATCTCGTCTTCATTGATGAAGTCCGCGGAGGACGTCTTGCCGATCTTGGCCTGGTTCCGTAATTGCGATCGCAATTCCTGAACCAGCGCCGGCTGCGGATCCTGTGCGAGCAACCGCACGATGTCGGCCTCGACGGCTTCCCGAACGAACCGCGATTGCAGGACGGTCGGGTAGTCGATCTTGGTGACAAGTGTGCTGCGTTGCGGCCGGATCAGGAGAAGCCCCTCCTCGGCCAGTTTGATGAAAGCTTCGCGGACCGGTTGCCGGCTGATGCCATAGCTCTTGGCGATCTCTGCCTCGGACAGCTTGCTGCCCGGCGGGAGGTCGTTCTTGACGATGCGCTCACGCATGATGCGTCGCACTTGCGGTGCGATCGCAACGGTATCGTCAAGCCACGTATCGATTACGACTTCGTTCAACACGAGAAGTCCTCCCAGTGCCGTTATCTACCATACTGCCATACTAGTCAACAAAAATTTGACAAGTGGCGGTGAAGCATTCAAAAAATGGGTTACATACTTATTCAAGGCTACAGGAGGGAGCAGGGTTGCGCGAGACATGGAGATGGTTCGGTCCGGCGGATCAGGTTTCACTGGACGACGTCGCTCAGGCGGGGGCAGGCGGCGTGGTCACCTCTTTGCACCATGTTGCGGTGGGAGATGTCTGGACGCCCGGGGAAATCGCCGCGCGCCAGGCCCTGATCCGTGAACAGGGTGCGCATTTGCCTGTATCCCTGGAGTGGGAAGTGGTGGAAAGCCTGCCGGTATCGGAAGACATCAAACGACAGACCGGACCCTGGCGGGATCATGTCGAAGCCTACAAGACCAGCCTCACTCATCTCGCAGAAGCGGGCATTCGAACCATCTGTTACAATTTCATGCCGCTCCTTGACTGGACACGGACGGATCTTGCCTACGCCGTGCCGACCAAGGCCACCTGCATGCGTTTCGACCTGATCGATTTTGCCATGTTCGATCTATACCTGCTGAAGCGCCCTGGCGCGGAAGACAGCTTCCCTGCCGAGGTGATCGAGGTGGCGCGTCAACGTTTCATGGATGCGGATGATGGTGCCAAGCAAGCGCTCGTGCGCAATATTATCTGCGGCCTGCCGGGTGGAAACGACGAATTGACGCTGGAAGATATTCGCGGCCACCTTGAGGCCTACAAACCCTATGATCATTCCGCCCTCTGTCGGCACCAGTCGGACTTCCTGGAACAGGTCGTCCCGCATGCGCAATCTCTGGGATTGAGACTCTGCTGCCATCCGGACGATCCGCCGTTCAGTCTTATGGGTCTGCCGCGCATCATGTCGACCGAGGCCGACTACGCACGGCTCGTTGCGGCAGTTGATTTGCCGGCAAATGGAATAACGCTCTGCTCGGGTTCACTTGGTGCGCGTGGAGACAACGATCTTCCCGGCATCATGCGCCGGCTTGGCGCTCACGTACATTTCCTGCACCTGCGCAACGTTGCTCTGGAACATGACGAAACAATCGGTTCGTTTCACGAGGCGGAACATCTGGCGGGAAGTGTCGATATGCCCGCCTTGATTGCAGCGGTCCTTGATGAGGAAAAACGCCGGACTTCGGAAGGGCGCGAAGACAATTCCATTCCCTTCCGACCTGATCATGGACAGGACATTCTCGATGATCTGTCTCGCCGGGCACAACCCGGCTATCCCGCGATCGGCAGGCTGAAGGGACTTGCGGAACTGCGCGGTGTCATCGCCGGGCTGACATATGCCAACCTGCAGGAAAGCGTCTGATGAGAGTCACTGGAGGTCCACGATAGAGTGGGTCACTCCACCTGGGCAACAGCCCTCAATTCGCTGATCATGCGTGCATTGTCGAGTGCAATGACACTCTGATCGGCAAAGGTCTGGGCAAGTGCCGTCACCTGCGCATTGAAGGGTCTGACCTGCTGCCTGTAGATTGTGAAGGCGCCGACCAGGCTGTCGCCGGAGAGCATCGGAATGGCAACGAAAGATCGGGCGCCGCCAAGATCAGCTGTTGCGGCACGCAATGGATCTTCCGTGCGATAAAGCTCTTCCGAGCGGACATCCACAATGTTGATGATGTCCTGCACCGTTTCCATTCGTCCCAGTCCGGTTTCCGCACTCACGGCAATGACACCTTGCGCCTCAAGCCAGTCCTTGAACTCTGCGGGAATGCCCCGCGAGAACCTGGCCGAGAACCGTCTGTTGCGGCGATATTCGAAGAGTATGCCGAATTCCGCATCGCATAGTATCAGGGCGTGACCCAGGATTGCGGCCATCACATCGTCAATGTCACCGCGCGACCTGCTGATGATCCTCAGCACCTCGCTGAGCGCCTTCTCTCGCCCGATTGCTTCTTCCAGGCTGAGCGCCAGTTCGGAAATCACTGCTGCATGGTCGCTCTGGCTCATTTGTTGCCGGCCTTTGCCTTCAAGACGCGAATGCAATTCCAGCTTGGAGGAAACTTCCAGTTTTCGGTAGATCGCGGCCAGATGCGTTCGCACGGTTGAGGGTGCAATATGCAGCCGTTCGGCAATCGCGTGATAGGTTTCCCCATGCGCATAGCAACGGGCGATTTCCAGTTCGCGCGGGCTCAAACTCTTTTCAGGCTGCACGCAACAACGCCTCCGACATTTTCCTGCTCATCCTGCGTCACTCCAATGTGGCAGCAATACCGCATGTAGTGTAGCCGAATACAGCAAGGTGCCGGACAATATACTGCATCTGCACGATACCGCAGCTTGCGAGACGTCCCTAAGCTTGGGTAGCGAGGGGAAATGCAATGACCAGACAAAGGGTTTCAACGGACCGGTACCATGCCCGCCGGCGCGAATTTATCGCGAAGAACACAGGTTCCGCTCACGTGACAGGGGCGGTGTGATGCGTTGGCGAATGCTGGCGCTGCTGTTCTTCGCGCGCATTGCCCTCGGATTTCAGTTTCAAACGGCCGTATCCGTAGGTGGCGACCTCGTCACGGCATTTGAACTGGACTATTCGGAAGTCGGGATACTGATCGGCCTTTTCATGGCCCCTGGCCTGTTGCTGGCCTTGCCGGCCGGGGCATCGGGGCGGTTTCTCTCCGACCGAATGCTTGCGGTCGCCGGCCTGGGCGCGCTCGCCCTCGGTGGCCTCGTGAGCGGGCTTGGACCGGGACCTGTCACAATCGGTGTTGGCAGGTTGCTTGCCGGCGCAGGCTTTCTGTTTGCGACGCTCTACTTCACCAAGATGATCGCCGACTGGTTCGAAGGCCGGGAAATTTCAACCGCGATGAGTATCCTTGTCATGAGTTGGCCTTTCGGTATTGCCATGGGGCAGGTGGGACATGTTCTTCTGGCGGATCTCTTTGACTGGCGCGTGCCGTTTTTTGCAGCCTCCATGTATTGCGGGCTTGCTGCGGTCGGCGTCCTGGCCTTTTATCGGCCGCCACCGGAACGGACCGTCGCATCTGACCGCAGCTCCGGCAGGTTGAACGGTCGGGAGTTGCAGCTGGTCCTGCTCGCGGGAACAGCGTGGGGGGTCTTCAACGCCGGTTATGTTGCCTACCTCTCCTTTGGACCTCGGATGCTGGAAGAGCTTGGCCATTCTCCGCTGCAGGCCGCGGCGCTGGTGAGCATCGCCAGCTGGATCATGATCGTCTCGGGCGCGATTTGCGGGCAGGTCGTTGACCGCTTCGGGCATCGTGATCTCATTCTGATCGTCTGCATGGCGAGTGCCGTTGCAGCTTTATGGCTGGTTGGCACGTCCGGTGCCGGGCTCGCTGCAAGTCTCCTCTTCGGGCTTGTCGGCATGGCGCCCGCCGGTGTCATCATGGCACTTGCCGGCGAAGCGGTCCCACCCGCGCGGCGGGCGTTTGGCATGGGCGTCTTTTTCACGGTTTACTACGCGATCATGGCTGTTGGGCCGCCTGTCGCCGGATGGATCTATGAGTGGGCAGGAACCGCAGGGGCTGCGCTTGCCTTCGGTATGGTCCTGTTTGCGCTCGTTGTTCCCGCCGCACTGTTGTTCCGATTTGTGCGGCAGAGAGACGGACCTGATACATCGAGGAAGGGAATTGGATGAACATTCGAAAGACGCTTGTGATCGAAGAGATCGTCGAATCCGATGAATTTGGCGTGGCCTGCGATCCTTTGAAGCGTATGGCGGCACTCGCCGTTCTTCAAAATCCTTTCACCGATACCGATGCAGACGATCTTTCTGTGCTGTTTGAAATGGGTGCGGAACTCGGCGAAAGGCTTGCCGGAAAAATCATGGAACGATTGGGCAGCGCGCCGACCGGCTACGGCAAGGCGGCAATCGTCGGGACTGGAGGTGCCGCTGAACATGGTGCCGCGCTCTTGCATCCAGGACTGGGCAAACCCGTTCGTGCCGCAATTGGCGGCGGCAAGGCGCTGATGCCTTCCAACGTGAAGGTCGCCGCCGCAGGTGCAACGATCGACCTGCCGCTTGGCCACAAGGACGAAGCCTGGGCGTTCAATTTCATTGACACAATGACGCACTGCATCGCCGACGCACCACGTGCGAACGAGATTGTCCTCTGTGTGGGAATTGCTGCTGGTACCCGTCCACGCGCCCGGGTCGGAGAGGGGCCTCGACCGTAGGGAGAAGGTAAGAGGGTTTTGGTCCGGCGGCCGGATTTTCCCGGTGCCGGGACAAGGTCTCCTGTCCTCTGCCCTGCAGCCGGAATTCAAATCGGTGACAGAGAGTGGCGACAGCTGCAGTTTCCTTGAGGGGAAGTCGCGGGGTCCCTTGAAAGATCTGCAGGGCTTCATTCGCCGGCAAGGATTGGAAGCTTCAACGGTGTGGGATGAGTTTGACCGCCATCATGCTGATCAGTGACCAGCAGAAGGTACGGAACGTCATCGCCACGACGGTGCGCATTTCGAAGGCTCCACCATCCAGAATATGCACGCCGAGATACGCGAAAACCGCCAGGATCGCCAGCAACAGCAGGACAGAAGACTGAACTGCCCAGTATCTGCGCGCCCAAAGCCCAAGGCCTGTAAGTACATACCAGAACCCCGAAACAAAGTTGAACCACAGGACCGTCTGAACCACATCTCCGAAATTCGAACGGATGTCTTCACTCGAAAACAGAGCGGTGCCGCCGGACAGGATTGTCAGAACTCCGAACAGAACCGCAAATCCGGCTGCAAATGCGAGCGGATCGGACAGCTTGCCAGGTCGCGACAACATGGTTGGTCTTCCTTCGGGAAAATGCCTTCCGGACCGGGTGCCGGTTCCTGATGCTACAGCGTGCAATACCTCATTGCGAATTGCGGGTGTGCGGCATTCCAGCGCGATCACTTTTCCGGTGCCGGTGCCGTTGACGGCGCAAACGCGCTGCACACAGAACTCTGAAAAAGCGTTGAGAGCTTGCATCGGCCGGTTCTGTTGAGGCCGGCCGATGCCAAAAAAACGTACCGGACATTCAGCGGTGCATTTTTCAGACGCTGAAAGGATCGTCGTTCACGAGGAACTCGATCGCCGGCAGAAGAGCTTCCGGGTCGACACCGGAGGGGATCCCGTTGAGTTCGATCGTACCCGTCAGATGGGTGATCAGCAGATCGCCATCTCCGGAAGCGCCGAGGGATACGGCGGCCTGCAGGCCATCTGCGACGGGATCGGTATCGAATTCAAGAAGGTCGGTGAATTGAAGTCCCGGATCACCGGTTGCGGCGATCGCATCCAGAACGACCGGATCACCGTCCCTCAGATCGAGCACCAGCTTGTCGCGCTTGGCGTTGAAGTCCGCAACCACGTCGTGGCCTTCTCCTTCACGGAAAGGATTGAAGACGAAACTGTCGGCGGAACGGCCGCCGACCAGGAAATCGTTCCCTTCCTCCCCGACCAGAATGTCCTTGCCGCGTCCACCATTCAGGTAGTCGTTGTCAGCGCCCCCTTCCAGCGTGTCCTTACCACGACCGCCGAACAGGTAGTCGTTGCCGTCACCACCCTTGACCAGGTCCGATCCGCGTCCACCGAAAATGATGTCATGTCCGCCAAGTCCGTTGGCGATGTCGTCACCTTTCCCAAGAGAGATGAAGTCGAAGTGATCTGAACCGATGACCGCGTCAGGGCCACGTCCTGTAAACAGGAACCCGCCCTTGGCGAAGGTAATGTCATAGGGCAGAAGGACATTGTCGATGACATGAATGATGCCGTTTTCTGCGATAATGCCGTTCTCCGAACCTGCCGGGTTGGTCACCGCGGGATCGGCAAAGCCGGGGTCCTTGTCACCAAGCGAGAGGCCACCGTGTGAGCTGTCCGGCTTGATTGTTTCGCCCGAGAGGGTTTCAACGGTATTGGAACCCGCAACGGCGCTGCCATCCAGAGCATCCCCGGCGATATGATAGGTCAGAACCGACTTTAGGAAGGAGGTTGGATCGTCTGAAGGCGAAAGCAGCTCCGAAGCGGCAATCAGTGCCGGCACGACTTTGGATTCGTCCGAGCCCACGCTTGGATCGAGCGCATTCGCCAGATTCAGAAATGCCTGGTCGGTTGGCGCGAACACTGTGAGGCTTGCGTTCTTGTCACCTGCCGCATTCGCGAGATCCGGAAAGGCACCGAGTGCCGCCGTCAGAATTTCAAAATCGGAACTTCCACTTGCAATATCGAGGATCGTGTTTGTAGGCATTTTTTTGCGCTCCCTACTTGCGCCCCATCGCGGATGTTTACGGTTGGTCGCCGGAATGGTTTGTTCATCATGCTGAATTGCTGATCACAGTCGCGTGAAGAAGTTCGTTGTAAGCCCGTGCTGTTTTTCCTGGCTGAGGGAAAGAATACCAAAACGCCTTGAAAAACTTGAACATCTACATCAGGTTATGAGCGGTCCCTGTCCCGCGGCAGGTGAGAAAAGACTTGTCTGGAGCAGATCATGTATTTGGCGATGAACCGGTTCTCTATTCTGAAAGGCCAGGAGGAGGCTTTCGAAACAGTGTGGCGGGAACGCGAATCCAGACTGTCCGATGTGCCTGGTTTTCAAAAGTTTCATTTGCTGAAAGGGGCTTTCGACGAAGACGCCGGAACGACCCTTTACGCGACCCACACGATCTGGAGCAACCGAGAGGATTTCGTCAACTGGACAAAGTCGGAACACTTTCGCGAAGCCCACAAGAACGCGGGCGGGAACAGGCACCTATATGCAGGTCACCCCAAATTCGAAGGCTTTGAAGCGGTTCTGAGCGAATAGAGCGTCGGGTCGTTTATGGTTTTTTGGCGCGCGAAACCCACCCGTGGTCTCGGGACAGACCTGCGACACCCAAGCAGATTTCAGACGTTTGTTCCGGTCAACCTAAATGGACGCGGCGCATGAGGCGCGATCATGCGAAGCGGCGGCATCGGTGTTCTTGATCAGCGATCTTCCACCGATACCGCAGCGGTCTCATGAGCCGGAGCTATTGGCCGGTGGCTTACTCTGACGCTTTCGCGGTCAGATTTTTCAGAGCACCGGTCATCTTGCCGATGCTGGGGTGGTCGGCCGGTAGGCCATGTGCCGCTGCAAGGGACGCAGGAGCGTGGTAAACGAGGATCGTGCCGTTGTCGGTTTCGATGATCGCCACGCGAATCGGCAGGTCGAGGCCGGCTTCGGGGGCGTCCCGGATCACCGGTGTTCCTAGTTTCGGATTGCCGAAGATTACAACCTGGTTTGCCGGAATTTCCATATCGACGCTTTTTCCGCCGGCAGCATGGTCAACACGCGCAAAAACCTTCGCCCCTGCCTTTTCAACCGCGGCAACGAGATTGTCGGCGGTCTGTTCGACCGAGTGCGGGCTCGGAACTTTCACAAGATCGGTGTCGGCGGCTTTTGCGACCATGGCCGACGACGCGAGAAACAGCGCGAGGAGGAGTGATTTGAAAGCAACATTCAGCATGTTCGTCTCCAGATAGAATGATCATTAATGGCGGGCAGTTTCATTCGGAGATTGTCTCTAAGGCCAATCACACTTTTATGAGCGGAATGAAGCCATATTGCGGAGAGCGGAACAACGGCCGCTCAATTGCAGTGTCTAATGCAATGATCGGGTGTTGTCGAAGATCCGGGAGCCACCGTTTCACGTATATCGCACGCCTCAGCGAAGCTGCTCGCCATCTGCAAGCCCGGGAACCGGGTTCGTTGTTCGAGTTTTTGCGCCGGAAGATGAAATACCGGAAATGCCGTGCGGTGGTCTGACCAGTGGAGAATACAACCGATGAATTCGCAAACCGCCGCATCGCAATGCACTTCCAACGGCGCCTTCGTCCCGTCCCCGGCAATATGGCTCGGCGGTGCTGGTGTTGTTCCATTCCTTGCTTGTGCACTGCTTGCACTGCTCGGCCCGGAACCCGGAGCGTCATGGGCGGCTCAGGTGATGGTCTGCTATGGAGCAGTGATTCTGTCCTTCCTCGGCGGCATCCAGTGGGGTCTTGCAACAGGATCTGCAGATCCGACCGATGTCCTGACCAGACGTCTCGGTCTCAGTGTGCTTCCGTCACTTGTCGGATGGGGCGCCTTGCTCCTGCCTGTGTTATGGGGGCTGCTGGTACTTTTCGCAGCATTTGCACTGGTTCTTTTTCTTGACCTTCAGGCGACGCGGCGCGGTGAGGCTCCCGCCTGGTTTCCCAGGCTCAGGGTCCCGCTAAGTGTGGCGGTCATGGTGTCTCTCGTATTCGGGGCAGTTGCTTCAGTCTGATGCAGTCAGGCCGTCGAAAGCAGCAAGGGCTTCCGATCCATAGATCATTGATGGGCCGCCGCCCATATAGATTGCAACACCGATGACTTCCAGAATCTCCTCCCGGCTGGCCCCAAGACGTGCGGAAGCGCGGGCATGGTAGGCAAGGCATCCATCGCAGCGGGCGGTGATGCCGATTGCCAGCGCAATAAGTTCCTTGGTCTTTGCATCAAGCGCACCGTCCTTCATCGCGCCGGCTGCAAGGGCTGCAAAACCCTTTGCAGTATCAGGTGCGCCTTTCCGGACTTCCGCCATCCGGCCATCGGTCTGGGTGATGAACTTTTCCCAATCAGCTACGGCCATTCCTGCCTCTCACTAGTTTCAAATGTTGGAAAGTATGGTGGAGGATTGTGGCCCATTATGCGTTGATGTGCGTCAAGGCCTGGTCTGTCAGAGAGTCAGTGAGCCGTCGCGAACCGGAGCGGGTGTCCACGGGATCACGCTTTCGTGAATTGTAGTACAAGAGGAATGGTTTCATCTATCTATCAATAGATAGATTTGATTGCCTTAACTGCAGCGGCAGCCAGGATTTTTCACCGGGTAGTTGGTGCAGCAAGCGTCAAGACAAAGCCTGTTGGAGAAGAACCATGGAAGTGAACGCCGAATTCGATCGCAGTGTCCGGATCACACCGAAAGATCACAACTGGGTGGAGTCACCCATGCCGGGTGTCGAACGAATGATGCTCGACCGGATCGGGGATGAGGTGGCACGGGCGACGACAATCGTGCGCTATGCGCAAGGCAGCGCCTTCTCGGCGCATATGCACGATGGTGGCGAAGAATTCATTGTGCTGGAAGGTGTGTTCGAGGATGAGCACGGTGCATTTCCAGCGGGCTCCTATATCCGCAATCCTCCCGGTTCGAGCCACACGCCAAGCGCTCCGCAAGGCGCAGTGATTTTCGTCAAGCTGTGGCAGTTCGATCCGGATGATCGCAGTCACGTTCGCATCGATACCAACAAGCTCGGAACTGTTTCGGATGCGGCCCGGCCTGGTGTCGGTGTTTCTCCCCTTTTTGAAGACGCGCGTGAGACAGTCAGGATCGAGGCATGGGCCGGGGGGACAAAGGCACAAGTGGAGGCACCGGGTGGTGCAGAGTTGCTGGTTCTGTCTGGAACCGTTTCGGTAGACGGCGAATGGCTGGCACCCTGGTCGTGGCTTCGCCGGCCGGTGCAGGAGCATGTCCAGCTTGAGGCGGGTCCGGAGGGCGCGCGTATCTGGATCAAGACCGGTCACCTGGACCATGTCTCGGTCCCTGGGTCCTGAGCGACAGAAAGGCATGCAGGTGACAGGCAAGAAACAGAAGATCTTGATTGTCGGAGCCGGATTGAGCGGCCTTGCCGTTGGCCGGTTGCTGTCAGACGAAGGACACGACGTCACGCTCCTTGAAGCAAGGAACCGGGTCGGAGGACGAATTGTTTCCCTGCCGGGACAAGCCGAGGGCAATTTGCGCTACGATTTGGGGCCGGCATGGATCTGGCCGCACAACAGGCGAATGCTCAGCCTCATGTCGGAACTCGGATTGTCACTGATGCGACAGCATTCGGCGGGCAATCTCGTATTTCAGGACCAGAATGGTCATGTACGGCGCGATCTCGAGTTCGCAACCATGGGCGATGCATTGCGAATACCAGGCGGTCTCGCGCAGCTCACCGAACATCTGGCGGCAAGACTGCCGCAAGAGACCCTTCACCTGGAGCATTCCGTCACGCGTATCGAAGCGCTTCAAGCCGGACTTAGGGTGTCCGGCGAAAATTCATCCGGCCCGTATACGAAGACCGCAGATCGGGCTGTTCTGGCGCTGCCGCCGCGTCTCGCCGCAATGGGCGTTGAATTTTCTCCCGCGCTTCCTGCCGAAGTCATCTCTTCGATGACCAATGTACCGACATGGATGGCCGGTCACGCAAAGGTTGTGGCAATCTACGAGAGGGCCTTCTGGCGCCAGGCAGGCCTTTCAGGAGATGCAATCAGTCATCGTGGCCCGCTTTTTGAACTTCATGATGCCAGCGCCGACGAAGAGGCGCCTGGAGAATCTGCCCTGTTTGGTTTTGTTGCACCTGGTCGAGGCGGGCAGCGCATCGATGAAAAGCAACTTCTTCGTGACGCCGTCGCCCAGTTGACCGACTTGTTTGGTTCGGAGGCCGCCGAACCCGCGCGCTTGCATTTCATGAATTGGGCATGTGAGGAACGAACGGCGACACCACTCGATACCGCGGACATGTCAGCCCATCCTCGATATCAGGATATCGAACTTGCGATTGACCCATGGTCCGGACGGTTACGGTTTGCAGGAACAGAAACGGCACCCGAAAACGGTGGGTTTCTTGAAGGCGCTTTGGAGTCAGCCGAGCGGGTTGCACGCGCAATCACATCCTGAAGGTTGCCCCGTGAATTTGCGGCCATCTGTTCATGTTACCACGACGATCAGAACCCAGAACACGCTTGGTTTGACACTGCTTTTCAGCTTACGATGCGTTTTCAAGGGCTTCCGGGCGCGACGTACTTGCCCATCCTGTGTTGTGAGATTGCCGGGTATTGGAGAAATTCATGGATGTGACCGCCGCTGCCGATCCGATCGTCATTGACAGTTTTGCAGCGTTCACATTGGGCATCATCGTCTATTTCCTCGGAGCAAAGCTCACCAAGCGGTTTTCGCTACTTTCCTCCTACAGCATTCCCGAGCCCGTGAGCGGAGGTCTGGCGGCTGCGTTTTGCGCTCTGGTGATCGTGGTTGCGACCGGTCGCACGATTGAATACGACCTCTCGGTCCGCGACTTTCTGCTGGTCTATTTTTTCACAACGGTTGGATTGAATGCGAGGGTTTCCGATCTGGCACGTGGCGGGCCGATCCTCGCGGTCATGCTCGCACTGACCCTGGTGTTCATGCTCGTTCAAAATGGCGTTGGTGCAGCCGGGGCACTGCTTTTCGGCATGCCGTCCCAGTCCGGTGTCCTTCTGGGCACGGCTTCCCTGATCGGCGGTCACGGAACGGCGATTGCCTGGGGTCCCACGATCGCCTCCCAGTACGGAGTGGCCGGTGCAGCAGAACTTGGCATTGCCTCCGCGACCGTCGGGCTTATTCTGGCGAGCATTCTTGGTGGTCCGATTGCAAAGTATCTGATCACGAAGAACAGCTTGACGGCGTCGGATGGCGAGGATGCGGACGAACCGCACGAGGCGGCGGCGACCGACGAGACCCGTTCAGCGATCAACCACGTTGAAATCATGCGCTGCATCCTCTGGATCCATGTTGCGATCGTCATCGGCTACTCGGCCCATGAAAGCCTCTTGGCAGCCGGACTAAAGCTGCCGTTGTTCGTACCATGCCTGATCTCGGGCATTGTCCTGTCGAATGTTGTTCCGCTCATATTCAGGAAGGCAAGGGCCCCGGCCGGAACCCAGTCGATGGATCTCATCAACGAGTTCAGTCTTTCGGTGTTCCTGTCCATGTCGCTGATGAGCATGGAGCTCTGGACCCTTGCCGGCAGCGCGGGTGTCCTTGCCGTGACCATGCTGTTGCAGGCGGCTGCGGCGACCGTTTTCATAGTGCTGGTCGTTTTCAGGGTCATGGGGCGCAATTATTTTGCAGCCGTCCTGTCGGCCGGTTTCGCCGGTTTTGCACTCGGTGCGACCCCCACCGCAATTGCAAACATGAAAGCGGTGACGCAGCGCTATGGGCCGTCTCCGCTTGCTTTCATCGTATTGCCGCTGATTTCCGCATTTTTTGTCGATCTGGCGAACGCGTTCATCATTCAGTGGTTCCTGGGGCTTGGCTGACACCCCGTTGCCGACGGGCTTGTCAGGGACTTCATGACAGCGGCATTTTCAGCGCTACGGGCCAGGCACCAGGTAACCCTTTCCCTTAAGAAACTTTTGCAGGCTCCGGCACCGGTCGATCCGTCATACGCGCTCAGTCTTCTTCGTCGTAGTATTTCCCGGAACCAGGCGGCGCGATGACTAGGCGTTATTCCGGTAGACGTGTGTTCACAAATGTGATGTGCAGTTTTCAAGTGTGAATATTGACTTAACAACTTGGAGAAATTTGACGAATTGTTGTCATTGGATAATTGTAAGCAAATTAAAACGCGTGATGTGATTGAAATATTTCCCTGAATAGACGGAGCTGGACCCCGAAATGTTTTCGACATCAGAAAGGGACCGATGAAGGGCAGACCATTTTCCGGGACAATGACCCCGAGCACGCTCATATCTGTTTACGAGGCGGCGTTTTCGAACGACCATTGGCGCAATGCGCTCGATATGTGCGCCCGATCCATGGGAGCAAACGGAGCGATGCTCTACGAATTCTCGAATTTGAGTCAGGTGAATTTTGCATTGAACGAAACTAATTCCGCACTCCACGCTGCCGCCGATATCCTCTCTGAATACAATCAACTCCTGGCAGACGGTCGAGGGTCGAATTATGATCAGGAAGGTCTTGGAGCCACTCACCGTGCGGATCCGTTTGAAGTCGTGCTCGACACGGACATCTGGCAACTGGACGAAAGCTATCAAGCCCGACCGGAAGTGCAACTCGGGATCCGCGCCGGGTTTTTACGTCGAGCCCTGGTGAACCTTTCCGATGATCCAAACACATTCAGGGGTGCAATATTTCTGTACGGCCGGCAATGTGACGCTGCGGTCCCGCAACAGGCGGCAGAGGTTGAGAACCAGCTTGGGCCGCATCTATCGAAGGCCGTTGAACTGAACCGGTTCACCGTTGAGCTTCGGCGCCGGTACGACGCTGCCCTGGCTGTTCTCGACAAGATCGACACGGGCATACTCATTCTGACCGAAGCGGGGGAAATCATTCTCAAGAACAGCGCTGCGTCACAGGTCCTTGCCGAAGGTGATGGACTGTCTGTCGGGCCGGACAAGGTCGTTTCATGCTTTGCGGCGGAAGCGGAGGCGGCATTGAAAGATGCCGCCAGATGCCTGGCCGGAACCGCTGTCGGCGAAAATGATGAAGCCGGGCGGATCATTCAGATCGCTCGCAAGAGCAGCAAAGCAGCTTTGGTCGCGGTCGTTTCTCCGCTCAGGGACGCCGAAATGGAACTGGAGCGAAATCTGGCCGGAGCGCTCGTCACCCTGATCGATCCGCAGAAACCCATGAAGATAAAATCGGACGTTGTTGCCGGTGCCTACAGGTTGACTGTTGCCGAACATCGGCTGGTCGACTTTGTTCTCAAAGGACTGACCAACAAGGAAATCGCTCTCGAACTCGACGTCAGTCCCGAGACGATCAAGTCACAAATGAAGTCCATGTTCGACAAGTGCGGATGCCGCAATCGCGTCTCTTTTGTCTGGCGCGTCTTTCAGTTCGCGCCACCGATTTTCTAGGAATACTCTACAGGCCGGCGCGCATCGTCCGGCACCCGCCCAAAATCGACGCAGCGCCGTGCAATGCGTAGCCCTGATGGTTTTCGAAAAACAGATTGTCCGGTCTCACCAACCGGCGGAATTCCCCGTGAAGACACGATGCAGACCCGTCACTATAGCTGGACCCGTGAGCATTTGACCGCCTTGGACCCGATCAAGGTCAGTTTCGATCGCACCACCCAAAGCCCGGATGGTGGCGAGCAGAACCCGTCTGTGACCGAGATCTGCAGTCTCTTTTGCGAGGTTCAATTGGCCACGATACGCATCATGCACATACACACCAGGGCGATCATGTGAGTTTCTGCCAGTTAGAGGACTGTTTCCCGGCCGCCATGCTTGTCTGATGTTCGGCGGCAGGCAAATCAGCCGCCCCTCGATCCGGAACTGGAGCGACTGCCGAAACCACCGCGCGAGGCGACGGACGTGCGTGTTTGCACTTTGGCGGGTTTAGGAGGCGATTTGACTGCGTCATTGTATGTCCGCCAGCTTCCGCCGCCGTAACTTCCGACATAGTAACCGCCTGAAGTATAGTAACGCTTGCTGCCACGTTCCGGGTAAACCGGGCGAACATTGGAACGAAGAAGATCGTTCGTGATTGCGCCCGTCAATGCGCCGGCGAGGAAGTATCCTGCCGGGATCGGTGAAAAATACGATCTGCCGTTGGAAGACTCCCCGACACAGGCATTGTTGCCGTGCTGGTCGCTGCAAAGGCTCATCGATTCGTATCGTGGGCCAGAATTCTCGTGAATGTTGATACCGGTTTTCATGGCGCTAACGCAGACTTCATCCGAGATATAGCTGTCTGCCACACATTCGGACTCGGTCTTGTAAACGCGACCTTCCAGGTCGGGTTCCTGCGAACAGCCCGCTAGCGTTGCTGTCGTCGTTGCCATGACAACCAGTTTGATCGATTTGGATCGTTTCATAGAAAATCTCCTGACCGTCAAATCGGCCTGATGAAATTGGTAAGCAGAAGGGGCATTGTGCTGGCCTCCGTGTGAGCCAATTCGAAGTCGATCAATAAGTAATACAAGCAGCGTTGAGCAATCCCACCGTAATGGAGATCGCTGCGAGCTTCGTGCTGATGGCAATTTCACCTTTTTCGATACGGGAAGTGATCTTGGGGTAGAAGCGTCGGAAAACCTGATAGGCGATCAACTGTGCAACACAGGCGATGATGCCCCAGATAATGAAGTCGACGATATTGACCGAGTTGGCGGCGGCGCTTGCGAGCGGTAGTGAAAAGCCGACAAAGGCGGCACTGAAGACCAGTGACGCTGCCACGTTGTTGTCCTTGATCAGCGCCATCTCGTCGTGGGGCGTCATGATGGTGTAAATTTTCATGAAAACCAGCAGCATGACGATTGCGGCAATGAAATACGCGATGAAGGGAACGATGCCTGATAGAGATGCCTGTAGGTCGGCCATTTTGATCTCCGGTAATGTGACTTAGACAGAAAAATTGTGCTGTTCGAGCGGAAACCCGATCATGAATGCGACGCTCCGCTCCGCGTTTTCAGGTTCTTCCATGTTGATGAGTAACATTTCGTCCCGGCCGTCTTTGAGCTGGCGGGCGAACAACATTGCAGTCTGAAAAATTCGGCGCCGTCCCCCACCGGAACGGTCGTCGCAGATTTCTTCCCAATAGGTCATCGGATCTTCAGGCGAGGTCGAAGTGTCGAACCAAGCGCGCTCGAAACCGATATTCTCACCACCACGCGACAAGCTGTAGTTTTTCTGGCGGATGCTGTTCTTGCACTTGCTCCATTCCGCCTCGCCGGAAGGATACTGAACATCATAAAAGTACCAAAGCATGATTTCGTCGACGCGATTGTCGGCATTGCCATCTCCACCTTGGAACTGGATCAGGAACCGATCATCATCCGGATAAAAGCGATGCATATGCGATTGCTCGCCAAGGTCACAGTGTCCCTGTGCAGCGATCATCAGTGTGGTGTCGGGTTTTTCCATGAGGGTTTCATCCGGCAGCAACCGAAGAGCGATTGGATCGAATGTGATGCCGCGCCCGATTGTGAGGCCCAGGATTTCAGATGGCAGCCAATCCTTTGACCGCTTAAACAGAGATCCGAACATTTGATCCCTCCAGGCCTTTGGAAATGTCGTCAGCGCTCAGTCGCTTGTTGGCAAGATAATAAATTGAGCCTCCTGAATTGAGTTCCTTTGGAAATGGCCGAAACACAAATTCCTTGTCGTCTGGTTGGGAGACCGCAATCAGTGTGCCGTCGGACCCGCGCAACGATTGTTCAAGCATGGACATTCCGGTCGGTTTATCGGCTTCGACAATTGCGGAGTAGATTGTCGCCCCGAATCCGGCGGTTGAAAGAGCCATGAGTATCTGCCCGGAGCCTGGATCTTGCGCGGCACGCACTAGGGACTCGCAGGCGTTCGAAACAACCGGCTCAATGTTCGCAAGTTTGCCGGAACGGCGTGCGGTGTCCCGGTCTTCGAAATAGGCGGCGATATGAACTTCGCTGTTCAATTCCCGGATGGCAAGGCAGGTATTGAAGGTCTCGGCGTCGGTGCCTGCATAGACCAGGACTTTTTGCGCCCCGGCAATTGCGGCGCGTTTGAGAGACTGGAGAGCGTCAAGCCGTTCGGCACGGATCAACCGGACACCCTCGGGGATTTCGATGTTTTTGGAGGTTGCCAGAAGAATGATTTTTTCATCGCCATCCTGCCCGGCAATCAGGTTCTCCACCATGAGAGGGGTCTTGTCGCGATGGTATCCGACAATGACGGTGGCGCCTTGCACGCGTTCAAAGTTACCGTTTCCGTCGGCCATACGTCTCACTCCTTCGACTAGGACACCTGTCAGCCGGCCAAGAACAGCTGAGAAAATCAACAAGGCACCGGGAAAAAACCAGAAAGCTGCGACCATGCGTCCGGCTTCGGTCTCCGGCGACAGATCGCCATAGCCGACGGTCGATGCCGTGGTCGCCGCGAAATAGATGAATGTAAGCGGATTACCAGTCAGGCCGGTCTCGCCCGCAAGCAGAAACAGCGCCCACGAGATGATCAGATAAGCGCAGATCAGCGTTGTCAGTAGCCAGAGCTTCAGCTCAAGAACATGCTGATAAACTCGCGAAATAAGTAGCTGCAATATTGGCACGGATGGATTCTGCCCCCGGTTGAATCGCATTGGTAATTTGACCAGAGGGCGGAGGCTTGTCAAATCGAACCTCCATGGCGAAAAATCTCTTGAAACCAGCCTGCATCACTTCTACTTGTTCGATGCTGGGTTGAAGGCCTGGCCATTAACTGGAGGCCAAAGAATGAGCGCGCGGCAAATCCCATGGACATTGCACGAACTGAAAGAGGCCCTCGAACGGTCCGCTTCGTTCGCGGAAAACGAAGTCCATTGCGCATTGAGCGAGACCCAGCCTGATGTTCTGGAAGTGCAACTTCGTTCAGCGGGTGAAATCACTCTGTTTCTGACGGTCGGTGAAACGCAGATCCTGACGACAACCGTCTTGTGGCCAAGGGATCTACAGGATGACCCGGCTGCGTTTGAAGCCATGATGCTTCGCAATCACAAAAAACTGCTGCCGCTTTGCGCTCTATCTATCGATGAAGTCGACGGCAAGGAGTATTATGAGCTCTTTGGAGCAATGTCGGTGCGCTCGACGCTGAACTCGGTGGAGACGGAACTGCGCACAATCGCCAATAGTGCCCTGGAACTGGCAGCTGATGTCGGTCCAAGGGCCGGTGTCGTTTGAGATCTGCTGATTGGTTGGAACGGGATAGTTGAGACATGAGTGTTTGGGGCAAATTGATCACGGCTTTCAAAGGCCATGCCAGCAATGCGGCTGAAGCCGTTCAGGACGCGAACCTGATGACGATCCTTGAGCAAGAGGTTCGCGAAGCCCGGCAGGCGATTGCAGCTGCCAAGGACGAAAAGGCGCGCATGTCTGCCAACCGGAAGCTCAAGGAAAAGTCGGTTTCGGAATTGTTGGGGGAAATCGAGCGTCGAACGGAAGCTGCCCGTACCGCAAAATCGCAAGGCGATGAGCCGTTGGCCATTGAGATTGTCGAGAGCATTTTGAAGCTTCGTGACAAGGTAGAGGCGGATCAGGCGCTGTTCGACCAATACAAGGCGACCGAAGAACGGATGGACAGCTCCATTCGACAGTCGGAAAGCAAAATCGAAACCCTGCAGCGCAAGATGGAAAGTGCCAAGGCGAATGAAGCACTGATCAAGGCGCAAAAGGCAGCATCCACGAACACGACGGCTTCTGATGGCAAACTTGCTGGCGCTGTTGACAGCCTGGCGCGTCTTGAGCAGCGTCAGGCTGAGCAACAGGCCATCCTGGAAGCAGCGGACGAAGAAGCACGGTTGGAAAGCGGAGCGGATCTTGAAGCCAAGATCAAGGCTTTGGAAAACCCGGGTCGAAACGACGTGAGAGCATTGCTTGAAAAACTTTGACGCCCCGATCGCCATCACATGAGACGGATATCAATTCCGGAAAGACCTGGTTGGAAAGAAAAGGCTGAACGGCTCGGGTTCGGCTTTCACACCATGTATGGTGCTCCATATTGGGACGAAAGCCGGGCATACGTGCTCTCTCTTTCTGAAATTGAGGAAGATCTGGAAGATCCGTCCCAGGATCTTTACCGCATGTGCCTGGATCTCGTGGACCGTGTCGTCCGTGATGAAGAACTCCTGACAAAGATTGCCATTCCGAAAGAGTATCACGGCTGGATCAAAGCCTCCTGGGAAGCCTCGGAACCTTCGCTCTACGGAAGGTTTGACTTTTTCTATGACGGTAGTGGCCCGGCGAAGCTGCTGGAGTTCAATGCCGACACACCGACGGCGCTTTATGAAACCGGTTTTTTTCAGTGGATGTGGCTGGAAGACCAGATTTCTGCCGGCGAGCTGCCGACTGAAGCCGACCAGTTCAATTCGGTACAGGAAAGGCTCATTGAGCGGTTTGCGGCCATGTTTGCTCCCGGCTATCACATTCATTTTGCGTCCACCAGGGATCAGGATGAAGACCGGGCAACCGTTCGCTATCTGGAAGATTGTGCTCGTCAGGCTGGTTTGAATCCACACTTTGTCGCCGTCGAGGAAATAGGCGTTGACGCCGATGGACGGTTTGCGGACAACGATGAGCACGTTATTGAGGCGCTGTTCAAACTCTACCCGTACGAGGATATGTTCCGCGAGGAATACGGACCATATTTGCCGGGTGCACCTGTACAGCTGATAGAACCACCCTGGAAAGCTGTCCTTTCGAACAAAGCGATTCTGCCGTTGCTATGGGAAATGTTTCCCGGTCATCCAAATCTTTTGCCAGCCTGTTTCGAAGAGGTGGCCGACAAGACGATACTGGACATGCCGCACGTTCGAAAACCCTTTTACAGCCGGGAAGGCGCCAACATCACGATACGTGGTGTGGACGACGCCGAATTGTCGACCCCGGGGCATTACGGTGAAGAAGGGCATATACTGCAGGCCTACCAGGAACCGCCGAAGTTTGGCGAGGACTATGTCATGATCGGTTCCTGGATCGTAGGAGGTCTCGCATCAGGCATCTGCATCCGTGAGGATCGTCATCCGATTACTCAGGATCTCTCCCGCTTTGTCCCGCATGTTATACTTGAGGATTGAAGAAGAATGCGGGAAAAGTGCAATTTCAGCAATGGTGGGCGGAGCTAACAACAACTCGCCAGTTGTCCATCCCTCGCATACTGTTTTCAATAAACCGTGCCTAAAAATTTTCTGCTGAACTTTTCCGAGTTCAGTTCAGATGGCGTCAAATCTGATTTTATAAGAAAAAATTCAGTTACCATTTCTTCGTTTAAGTAAGAAGTGGAGAAAAATAAAATCTATCTAAGTTGTTATCAAAAAAAGAAAAGCATGAATGAGAATTGTGTGCAAAACATCACAGTTTAGCACTCGATTCGAGTTTATACTGGGCGGCGTGTTGTGTGAGCGATCATTTGAGAAGGAAGCAAAATGATTATCAGTGCCGCCGACCAAACCAGATATCCAAGATTCACGCGGTATGTCCGCAGAAGTTTACCCTCCATTGCCAACATCGCATCGATGCGGCGCGCATTCCGCAGGTATGCGCAAATGAACAGCACAACCTTGCGCCGTGCACTGGCATGGGGAAATCAGCCGACACTCAACATCACTGCAATCGCGTCTCCAGCGGGATCATTCATCAACGGTGAATTCACACCGAATAGCAGCTCGAACGAAATCCGTTTGAACGAGATCCTGGTGACTGCCTATGAAAACGGCACACCGGCTCACTTGGCATTTACCAGAAATGCGGCCGGCCAGCGCATGCCGCGCGTCGGCGTTACCATTCTGCATGAGCTGGTGCACTGGGGCGATGACCAGGACGGGGTCGATTATCCGGGCGAAGAGGGAGAGCTCTTCGAACAGGCGGTTTATGGACGGAACACGGAAGGATGAGACCCGCGTCGCGCTTTGTATCGAGGTGCCTCGTTGCCGGTATGTCCATCTGGGCGTCCATCGTGACCGAAATGCCTTCCGCAAAAGGAGACTCTGTTGTGACGAACCAATCCAAAGCACTCCAGGTCGTTATTGGCGATCCGAGAGTTCAGGCTTTCATGCATCCTGAAATCGACGAAAGATTTCCGTTGCAGGTCAATCTGCCGGAAGGCGTTGGCGTCGAGGCGTTTGCCGGGATCGACCTCGGTGTTCCATCTGTTTTCCTGAAACGCGGAACGGCACCCGATCCTGCAAGGGCCAATCTGATCGTTTCGATGCTGGAGCTTGATAACGCCGATGGAACCGTCAAATTCAGTCTGCCGATCGAGGGACTTGTCGGTTCGGCGCAAATGCGCCTTGAGAACGGCTCCTGGGTCGTGAAATCCATGCAACTGGTCGAGCAATAGGCCTCAGGCCAAATTGAAACAGATCCGGGCACGGCATCGGGACGCAACTGCGGCCCTGAAACCGTTCAACATTCGGCGCCTCTATGCCGGGCCTCTGGCGCGCGGTTCCATCCGGATTTGCGCCTGCACGAATGCAGGTGTTTTGACAACCGCGACGATCGACGAACGAACCAGGTCAAGGCTCTGTTGAAGTGTCAATTCACTGGAGCCTTCGACGCTTGCTGATTGATAGATAAAACACGCCTGGATTAAGCAAGTTTAATTTTGTTTTTTGCCGCCGGGAACCATTTCTTCAACGGACGCAAATTCCACGACTTGAGATCCCTGGCCGAGAAGTGGCTCTTGTGCCAGCCTTCGCAACAATTTCTAAATTCGTACACCTTTATGGTTGTGCCTGCGAGAAACGTCACGAGCGCGACTGCTCGGTCGCGTCGCTTCTTCTTCAGGCCACCCATCCGGACAGGCCATTGAGGCAATTGAGTGCCAGGCGGCGATAACTTTTCGCCGCGATTCGAAAGGAAAACTTCTATGTGCAAGAGCAGTGCAGAAGGCGGCATCAGCCGCAGGGGTATGTTTGCGGCTGGTATTGCGGGCGCCGGGGCGTTGTTATCACCGGCAGCTCTTGCGCAGGTGACCGAAACCGCAACAGGCACCACGCCACCGGCAACACCCCGCGAAGCGTTGCAGCGGCTCAAGGAAGGCAACGCCCGTTATGTCGCCAATGCTCCGGTAAACACCGATCATTCTGTCGACCGAGCCAAACGCTCGGCAGGTCAAAAACCTTTTGCCGCAGTTGTTGCATGTTCCGACTCTCGCGTCGCCCCGGAGATCATTTTCGATCAGGGACTGGGCGACATCTTCGTTGTTCGCGTTGCGGGAAATTTCATCAACGATGACGGCCTGGCCAGTCTGGAATTCGGTGCAGCTGTCCTCGGTGTCCAGGTCATCGTCGTCCTTGGGCATTCCTCGTGCGGTGCAGTCGATGCGACGATCAGATCCGTAGAGGACAGGGAACTTCCAATGGGCCACCTGCCCAACCTGGTCGATGCCATTCGCCCAGCTGTTTACGACGTCATGCCTGAAAAACCGGTGGATCTTCTGTCAGCGGCCATCAGGCAGAATGCCAGGCTGAATGCCGAAAAAGCAGCGGCGTCGGAGCCTGTTCTGGCTGGCTTGCATGGTTCCGGCAAACTGACGTCCGTTGCCGGTGTTTATAACATCACCACCGGAAAGGTGGATTTCCTTTAGGATTTCTCCGTTGGCCGAATT